TTCACAGCAGTCTTCTTTTTCTGCAATTACTAAATTTGTGAGTAATCGGCTATAAGGTAAAATGATTACAAAAGGGATCAAAGAGAGCTGCTTACTCTTGAAAAGTGTACTGGAGCAGAAGGAGTTGGAGGGGTCTGTTTGGGTGAAGCCAATGGTGTTCTTTCTATATCACTTACTTCGGCTGCGGCCTCATCAACGTCGTCTTCAATTACTTCTTCATCTAGAGTTTGTTCAATGGATGGATCTAGAGCAGGCAGATCATCAGCTGGTGTGGTTTTCTTTGTCTTAGTTTTCTTATTTGGAGCTGGGGCTGAAATATTTACGGCCGATGATCTGGTTTTCCTCTTCTTGCCGGCATCGGCTGGATCTCTGATGAGCTCTTGAAGAAGAGCTGAAGTCTTGGGGGCATTATAGCCGATGACGGGGGGAGATGGCCCACCTCCGTTAGGGATCAATCCTAGGGCATACTCAATATCCTTGCCACTGTTGCTTTGGCGAGGGGGAGAGGATTCTGTTGTCTGCAAGTCAAAAGGAAAGTTAGCCAAGGATTAATCAGCTAGGCAGTTATTCAAATGAAAATCAAGTGAGTTAAGACTTACTTGAGGGACAACATTTGGAAAGAGGTCTGTCATATACATAGAAGCCGATTGATGGAATAAGTGCAGCTTCCATTCGCCCCACCATCTGTCAAATGCTTTGCTCCTGAAGGTTGCCAGCTTTATGTTGTCAATGCTGCCTAGAGGAGGTCCTTGGAGATTGAGCAGCCGATCCATCATTAAGGTTGATGAGATTTCTCCTCGGCACTGGATCTTATCGTCAAAGAATAAGCCGATTGGGAGTTGGCCCATTCCAAATTGCCTGGCAGAACTCATTGGATGATAAAACTCATAGGAAACTTGGATGTTTCTCCCTTGATGAATGTCGACGGGAAGGATGCATGGAGTGATTGCAGATGAGAAGATTTCTCTGGGCTTTTGATATCTGTCATTGTTGATGTCTTCAAATCTGAAGTCCAATGGATTTTCTAGAAGTGTTGAGTCTTCATAGAGAAACCAAACTCGAGCATCCTTTTGGAATCCCTCATAAAAGCTGCAAAACCAATCTTTGAGCAGCTCAGCCGATAGTTTTGCTCCTGCATCAGTTGGTGTAGAGGCATACTCTTCATAGGATGTGCATCTCCGATGAGTGAGTTCTTCTCCGTCATTGTTTACAATCGGCTCTAATCTTGGGAATTCTGCTTCTGTTACGGATGGCCGATTGACAACTTTCATGACTACCAGATTTAGCCAAGTCTGCAATAGCCACCATGGTCCACCTGCCCCAACTACTGAGCCGACAGCTAATTTAGCCGATGCATTATTTAGCATTTGATACAAGTAGCCGAGGAGGATTTTTCCTAAAGGAAATTGCTTCTTTGTTTCTAAGGCCTCAGCTACAAATTGCCAATTAGTTGTAGGGCCACAGCTTGATCCACAGAAGAGGAATTTTTCTAGTCACATTAGCAAAAAGGCCACATGTTCTCGAGGGGTGACCGGACCTTGGCCCATATATGCTGCTACATAGCCTGACCAGCCGCCTATGCTCTTGGTCTTGAAGTCGTATTGGTTTTTCGTGTTCAGGCTCATAGGGTTAGCCGATGAGGTGACATCCAGGCCTGTGATCATGATGATATCTATGAGAGTTGGGGTCATCGGCTCTTGGTTGAACAAGAAGGCGTTGATGGTGTTGGACCAGAAATAAGAGGCAGCTGCTATTAGGGGTTCGTCCTTAGCTGAGTTGGCTATGGTAAGGTCGAGTGCTTGGCCGATTCCGATTTCGTCCCAGTGAACTCTTTTACCAGCCGACATGCGCTTGAACCATGCTGTCCAACTTTTCTCGGGTGAAGTTTTCTCTAGAGACGGCCAGGATTTGAAGGTATTCTTCCAGTGACCTAGGTCTGGGTTGGTTAATCTGAAAGGAATCCTATTGGTTTCACCAATGATGAACTCGGTGGGATCAGGGTTGCCGACTGGGCCGAGAAAGTAGTAATTTTCATGTGACAGGCTGGGAATTGCAACTAGATTGGAAAGATGCTACAAATTCAAAGTAACCGAGAAGAAGAGAGCAATATATGGCAAGGGAAAACCGATCTGATGATAAGAAAGGGGATCTAGCCGATAGGAACTTACCTCAGCGTACTCGGCTGATGGTGCGGCAGATGGGCTGGCAGAGGACGACATCGCCGCAGGTGGAGATCTGGCCGTAGATGAAGTCACCTGGGGATCGCCTTGTGCGTCGGAGGAGTCGCCGGAGAGAGAGAAGGCAGAGTTTTGCTTAAGCGGTGAAAATGGAAGTCACGGTGTGAGATTTCTTGGGGACAACGGTTAGTATTTAAAGCGCTGGAATAGCAGTTGGAAAACGGCAGAGTGCGAAACTTGCTCGGAGTCGGTATACGGCAAATCCGGAACATTACCAAATATCCCGGACTTGGGAGGCATGTGTTAATGACCAAATTTGGTAATATCAGCATCGGAGATGAAGATGGAGTCGAAGCAGAATCAAAGATAAGGATTGTTAAAATTGGAAGTTTGATTAAAATTGGAATGATGTGAAAAAAAATTGGAAGTTTATATGTGTAGGAAAGTTTTGATGTGATGGAAAAGTTGAAAGTTTGAAGAAAAAGTTTGGAACTAAACTCGGCCTAAGTGGAAGCCTATAGCTTTCGGTCGGGGTGATATTGATGAAAATCGTATTTGGGAAAACCCACTTCTTACATTGAGACATGGCATATTCCCAATTTTCTCCTAGGAATAAGGGGTAGAATCCATGTGGGACGGGTGTATTCTGGGTTGGAACACTCTCTACATGCAAAATAGAATGATATATTAACGCATGATTGTTAACGACCAAATTTGGTAATATCAGCATCGGAGATGAAGATGGAGTCGAAGCGGAATCGAAGATAAGGATTGTTGCGGAAACAGAGTAAAATCGGCTGAAGTCCGGATCGGCTACGACTGGGATCGGCTAAGTGTGAGTCAGACTGGGTTAAGTGATACAGCCGATTCCGACAATATGACTTGTGTACGACATCGGGTTCGAGTTGGTGTGCTTCAAGATGATTGCCGTGCATGGATAGAGTCCTGGGAAGGCAATTGTATCTATTAATTAGGATATTTTATGTAATTTCCTTAGAGATAAACTTGGGCAAAAGTCTGCCGCAAAGACTTATGGTATCTTAGAGTTTGTTAGAGATAAGAGTCGTGTCCAATATGGACATATCTTGTAATTCTTGGGTATAAATAGACCCCGAGCCCTATGTAATTATTAACACACACGTTCAATACAATGTCGGCGCATCACCACCCTTTTTGCTTTAGTTTTATTTCGACGAGTTCTTACTTTCGGGTTGAGCTGCATCAGTTTCGATCTTCGACATGAGGTAAAACTTGTTATGATGGCTTGTGTTTCCGGGATTAGTGCTCCCATCTCTATGATACTCTAATCTTGTTTATGTAATTCGTCGAGTTATCATATATCTTATATAATCTTTGACAATATCATTATCTAATCTATAATCGGCTAACATCTGTTAGTAAAAGGCGGCTGATTAGGTTAAATAACGATGTTGGCTTAGATTATATAAGATATCTACCACTCTATGAAACATCCAGCGGCTTGATTGTCTAGATATTGTTCTTCTTTTCATACTTAATGCTGCATTAGTTGAGTTTGATCTATTAAGTCGTGCTTAGAACTATAATCTCTAGCCTGCCTTTTGGTTGCCGATTAGGGTAGCATCGGAGTTTCAGCCGATCTTACCTGATTTAACTACTTTTACCTTATACGCTTGATTGACATGTTAAATCTGTCCTTTATATTAAGATCTTGTTGCATTTAAAGTATGTTAGGCTTCTATTTGGTATATCTTACTTGCTTTAATATCTTAATATAGAGTGGTATCGGAGTATTAGCCGATACATGCTAGATCTACATGATCGACTACGCTATGAACATATATAATCTTGTTGTTAATATGTATTTCGATCTAAGTGATTTATACTGTCTCGGCATGGCGTTCGATCTATCACAGTCACTTGATTTGAATATATATCGATATAAGGATTAAATATTGTTGATATCTACAGCCGATCGAGTAAATTTAGTTCCTTGTTACTTATTTGTGATCGCCGATCGATTCACATATGACATCGGCTCAGAGATAAATGATATGTCATCGGCAATCAGCCGATCGGCTATCATTTATAGATTTAACCACGGTTTCTTTGTCTTTGTTTCTTGTTGATTGCAGGATCAAATCAACTGGCACGCTCATACATCCGAAGGCGAGCTTTGGACCTGCACTGGAGTTAAGCAGATCTCCCAGGCCTCGTGTTTTTTGTCAACAATGATTAATTAAGTATTAGCTATGAAAAAACCTTAAAAAATAGATTAATATGATTTTTAAAAGCAACTTTCATATTATAAACTTTTTGCAAAACACGTATTCCTTCTGTCCCAGGATAAACTAAACTAGTAGGAGATGTGAGCGTTTAGATTCATTGTAAGGGGTCATAGGTTATTTTAAGACGGCGGGAGTACCGAGTTTGAAGAAAAAACACATCATGGCCATGTTTGGTTCCATGGGCTAATTATTAGCACTCACCTTTTAGCCCTGAATTAACCCTCAAGCATCCAAACAGGTGGACTAATTTGGGGTTAAAGTGAATTAGCCCCCTCAAAACATTAGCCCCTCCAAGGGGTGCTAAATGGGGCTAATTTTGTGTGGGGACCATAAAAAGCAGTTCTCTCTCTTTCCCTTTCTCCGCTCTCTTTCTACTCTCTCTACCCTTTAGCCTTGAATTAGCCAATGGATCCAAACATACTACTCTAGGCTAATGTTTAGCCTATAAATTCATAACTAAACGTTAGCTCCCAAAATTAGCCCCCAAAATTAGCCCTGGGCTAATTTTCTAAAAATGCCCCATATCAACATACAGGAGTACAAAACAGTACGGTATCATTTTATTTTATTATATCTAGAAAAACAGAAAAAGAATATAAGGGGGAAGACTTGGGCCGCCGCTAACCCTAACCCCTGGCGACGGCGGCCGATCGTCGTCGACGAAGTCAGGCGCGGAGGCTGCGACCGGATTAGCCGGTCGCCCCTGGATTTGGAGCTCCCGTGTCCGTGTGGGGGCAATGCTAGCGCGGGCGTTTGGCCTCGTGGGCAAAACATGGAAGCGAACGCCGACTATGTCCGTCGAGGCTTCCGCCTCGCCGCGCCGCCGCTCCCAGATGCCACAGCAGCAGCTTTGTCATCTCCACGGCAGCACGCCGTCACAACGGCAAAAGTTCCCCGAAGAACAGCTCCCGGGGTAAGATTTATCTCTCTCTATGCCTATTTGATTGGTTGGAAGTTGGAACAGATGCCCCAGTAGGTAGGGTCGAATTTCCGACTCATGTTCTTCGGGATTCTTGTTAAATTTCATGGGTTAGGTTATTCATGATAAAAAGAAAATGGGAAATAGCAGGCAACATCTTTCCAACCGCAACCTGATTATTTTGCTACAGAGGAGCTCCGCCAATGCTGGACTATATCTCCGAACAGAACTTAAGCACCGTAGTAATGGCAACATGGAGAATTCAGCTGTTGCTGCTGTCGACTCTAATGGATAACCTTGCTCGCTTCTGAACTTCAATATTGAACTAAGCTTTGTAAGGTTGGCATGCTAAATTAGTTGTTTACATTCAGGGATACTGTTGAGGGGAGTTTTGACCTGAGGTTTGCAGCACTGAAGAGCATTGGGGAGGATCGGGTCAACGATCGTGAGCTTAAGTTACTGCTAAAGAAGAAACATGCCCCCATTTGTTATGTTTGGTGTGATCCATGCCCCTGGATGCACATTTCTCAGGTATAGGAGCACATTTTTTGGTAGCTCTCATAGATGCTACTTATTGAAACTGATAATTATCTTTGATTATATGGTTCATATATACCATACTGTAGCACTGCTAAGAAAAAAACAGGGATAGCTTTATGCAGATGCACTCTTTAGTCTGTAGTGTCGTTAAAAGCAATTTTTGTTTAAATGCACTGCAACCTCATCAGGAATAACTTGAAGTTTAAAAAAAAAGCAGTGCCTAAATGTACAACCATTTGGGTTGCACAACAAATCCAAAAGAATACCACGATTTTACTTGTGTACATCCTTTGGATTCAGTGTGTAAAGTTGAACTAGTGTGTTTCATAAGAAAACATGCGGTGTCTTATAATTATCATTTGGATTCTAAAACATTTATAAGTCTTCCGCGTTACTGAAATTTTCAGGAAAAAAACATCTTTTGTTCTTTATGTGCTCACTAATCAGTTGTCGATGTTTATGCTTTGGCACAAACGAAATCCATAGACCAGACAATAATAATAACTGCCTATTATTTTTGTGCGCTTCAAAATTGCAACTTATTGAGAACATCCTTTCCATGGTTCCACCAAATTGTAGTCAAGAGTTGATTCTGATAGTACCATCAGCTTGCTATTTACAATTAACTTTTGTTCTGTCTCTTTTAGTTAGTTACAACAATGCCACCAAGCTTCTTTGTGAGAAAATAATGTTGCATGAACCTTTTGTCTCAATGGCATAGCCCTGCTGAGAATCACAACTGAATTTGTCTTATGACTGAAGTACGCATTAACAAAACATGTTGAGAAGAAATAACAGCAGTGCCCATTGTTAATCTACTTTCCAGAGACATCTTGTTCTTCTATCCAGATTAGCCTAGGCTGTAAGTTGTCCAAAAGACAGGAGAAACATTCGCTCTTAGGCCTTGTTCGGTTAATCCCCATGAGGGAGGGATTGGAGGGGATTTATTCCACACCTATTGTGGTGTGGAATTATTCCCCATCAATCCCCTCCAAACCGAACAAGGCCTTAAGTTTGGGTCTCAACTGTGAGTGACAATCCAATGTAAATGAAAAAGACTCATTTTTCATCTACTCAGTCCAGCAAGTAGAGTCATATTATCTGGGCATAAGTTAAGAGGGACTGGAATATTTGGAATTATTCACGTTAAACCTTGAAATCAAAAAATATTTGCAAGCTTCCTTTGAGAAACAATAATTTATTTGTAGATTCTCTTATAACTCTATAGCCATCATCATTTCAGAAGATGAGAGAATGAAGTGTCCCTTCATGTCCATATTTAAGGGAAATCAATCCTGATGCATATTTTTATTCAATAAATCCTGTAGAATCACCTTCCAGAACAAAGAGCAGTGGTGAGAGTGGTCTTGTCATAAAATTCTTTTGCAATTATCTTTCCTTGAACGCCATTCAGCAAACAGAAGTGGGACCTGTATTCAGGACTTGACTGACCTCCAGTTCTAGGAAAAGCTTTTTCATTGTGTACTAAATAAATTCTCCTGCTTGTTAAAAGTTTTGAGCACCAGGTGCTCTGTTATCTTTTGGTATACACTAACATACCATAATCTCATGCAAAAAAATAGGTCTAATTTGCTGATATTGATTAAACTGAAGTGAAATTTTATTGGCTGTAATTTTGCTGTTCTTCCATGTATGTATTCCTTATGACATCAGTGTAAAATTTAACTTTCAGAAAACCTCACTATTCAGTTCATTCATTGTTCATTGATGTTTCAGTTTACTGTCTTAACATTTGAAATGACGCCACTATTCCATTTAAATTAATGCTGACACCTTCAAATTGTTCAAATCTGTAATGCGATGTTCACTAGTGTATGGATCCGTTCTTGTTCTGCAGGGGATCATGAAGACACTCAATATTAATAAAATGGTTGAATCTGGTTTCAAAGTTAAAATCTTAATGGCAGACTGGTTTTCCCAGATGAACAGTGAGATTAGTGGCAATCTAAATAAGATGCGGACTGTTGGCAGGTACAATATTGAGATGTGGAAAGCAACTGGCATGGCTCTTGATAAAGTAGATCTAGTCTGGTTGTCAGATGAAATACGTCAACATGGTGATGAGTACTGGCCAATTGTCATGGATATTGCAAGGACAAACAGTGTGCGTAGAATAAAAAGGTATATTCTTGTTTGAATCATTTGAGTTTTCAAGGGTTATTTCACTGGAGAGCCTACTGATTGAGCATCGGATGTTGGATCAGTACATGCAGGTCCTCTTATTACTGTTTACCTAGCAGATTTTGTGGGAGTAGAAATTCTTATGCGATTGGAAAATTAAATGTTGATGAGATTTTTTACATTTGCTTGCAGTGTGCTAGCATATTATTTCAGAAGGTATGTTTAATGTACCTACTACCTCTGTTTGCAAATGTGTTGCCATTGGTATGTTTCAGTCAATTTATCTAACAGTAACCGCTGATATATTAATAACTTCTGGAAATATCAGGGGCTAATTTGTTAAATGAGCAAAAGTAGTGGTGGTGCTTTAAACTTAGTAGGGACAAATGAAGGAAGCAATTAGTGTAGTTCTATTAATATAGTTATTTGACTATGCAGTCCAACCCTGTTTGCTTCCCTTTGATCTTGCACCTCACCAATTCTTGTACACAAGGCCTATTGATATAACATACTCCTCTTTTTTTTTTGGTTTCAAGTGTAGATTATGTATCTGTTCACTTTCACTAGACTGATTGTTGTGAAACTTTTGTGCAACCAATTCTGTGATTGCCATATCAACTAAAGTAATAGTGTTCAAATATGCTTCTGTATTTTATTTTACATGGGATTTTGTAATGGACTTCTTTAAAGCTTCTTGCAATGCATACATTATCAACTGCAGGCAGACATATGGCTGTTGGGAATGGAACAGCATGATGCCAACTTATTAGCTAGACAATATTATAAGCATTTCAAAAAGAAGAATAAGGCAATTGCTGTTTTGGACAGTATCTTTTCACTTTTATATGTATTGTTCCAAGTTGTTACATGTGCTTGTGCTTTTGGTATTTGGTTCTTGGATGGTGGTACTTACATGCCAAGACACTTGCACAAGGTACATGCACCGAAACATACTCGGGTGCACATCCTTAACTCAAACTACAGATATGCTTCCTAATTTATTACAATACCCTCAAATGGAGAACAGGAGGCATCCAGCTTGGGCTATCTTCATGGAAGATGATAAGGTTTTACTACCGTTATACTCATCCTATATGATGCCAATCCTGTTTATATATTCTCTTCGTTCCATCCTTTTTTTTTTACTGCAACATAAGTTTAACTCGAACCTGCTATTATATGCTTAGGCAATAAACTCATCTTGATCCAGGGAGATGAGTAACAAGGGAAGACTCCCCATTCTTTGTTTGAAAAGAGGCTAACTTTGTTCTTATGCACTGCAACAGATGATTATTAACCAGTTTGTTTTAGCTTTTTTGTTACTTGAACCCTATATGTGATAATTATTATGTTATTTGACATTTTGAACAGTTCTGGTATGGGGTTTGGTTTTGTCAATCAGTGTGACCATAGAGTTGTTGAAATATGCTACCTTATGCAGCTCATCGTCTGATCGATGTTTTGGCGAAATCATTAGTTATTGTTTGAAGGTTGACAATGGAGATTGTTCAATATTTACCTGTTGTATATTTCAGGAGGATATATGTTTTAAAATGGAAAAAGCTTTCTGCCCTCCAAAACTAGCAGAAGGCAATCCATGTTTGGAGTACATAAAATATATCATCTTGCCTTGGTTTGGAATGTTTGAGGTGGTCCAGAAGAAAGGGAATGGTGGCAAAAAGTAAGAAGTTGCAGAGTCACTTCCGCAGATTTCTGGACAAATCTTAATTTTACAATTCAACAGTATTAGTACAATTGTTTTGTCCTGTCGGTGTCATCAATACCTAACAATTCACAACTAAATCATATAACGTAATCATGCATTATATTTGTATGCTTTTATTCTATGGTTTGTGATTACTTCTATCTTGTTTAGGACTTTTCTGAGCATGGAGGAACTTACAGCTGATTATGAAAGTGGCGCTCTGCATCCTGCTGATGTGAAGCTGGCCCTTGAAAAGTCATTGAACGAGATATTGCAGGTAATGCTTTTGTCTGTACATATGTGTTCTGATTTCCAGTCATCCATCTCTTGCTGGATAAGTTCTGCCATTTCCCTTCTCTACATCCGCTTATAATGAATACTATTTTGATATTAATGGATCATCCCACATGGAAGATTCTGTAAATGTTACATGTTCCAATTGACAAACTAGTGATAAACTAGAAATGCTAGAATCATGCTTCTCATAGAGTGAGGTGTTCCATTCCACAGAGGCGTAAGATAAACAATTTTACTGTGACTTCAAATGACACTAGTTTAAATTCGGACGGACATGCTACCAAAAGTTTGTCCATAGAAAGGAGAAAGAAAATGCATAGTAACAGAGAGCTCATCGGAGTTTTTCAAAGCACCCCTATTTTCAAAATGTCTTTTCTCGATAACTAGGTTTTGTACTCCTCTGTCCTTGTCTGTGTTGAATGGGGTTGGTTGGGAGGTGGAGGAACTCAGGGATCCTCTTTTTCTGGATAACGTGTTGCCTCACAACTGATTAGCACTGAGTCAAGAGCAATTTTAGGGTAAAAGAAAATGCTAAAAATACTTTTCGGTGATAACAACTAGCTTGAACCTAAGCTGGTTGACAGAAAAAGCATGTTTGAGCAGTGGAGGATACATCTTGACACATAATCTGGAAAAGGATAGGTTCTCCCAGGTAGCTGTCAATAATCAGTGAATCAAGTTGATTCGCAGTATGAAGCTTGCCAGTTGCCACATTACTGAAAGATGGATTTGGACAGAAACCAAAGCTGTTCCTAACTGGGATTACTTAAAATCGTCCTTTCTCACATGCTGATTCTGCTCTTCTCATCGAAGTAGAAAGTAACTAATAGGAAAATAAACAGGAGTATTTGTTTTCATTTCCCAAGAATGTGGATCAGTTACTCCAATGGCCACTAATCCGCTGGTTTTTTTTCTTCCATGGCAGTAATCCATTTTAATGTTTCTTGATGAGTTGCTCTAACATGAAAAATATTATGAATTGGATCATCTATGTTATGGTGTAGCAACCATACATGAAGAGTGGTATGTGCTATGCTGTTAGTGATACACATTACTTCAGAACCATTTTTATGGTAGATTGTACTTTATTTGTAACTTGCAACTTTCTGTTAACATCCAAAACTAGTATCAGAGCATGTGAAAAATTGATTTTAGAATTCTTTAATTAAAAATATTTTTAAAAAGATTTAACTCACTTGTTAAAGAAAAGCTGTTGGGCTGGTGAACGAATTGCATGGACTACAAAATAATATTTTTGGGATTTTAATAATCATAGAAGTTCATTTCAGAACAATCATCAAAATACCATTTCAAAAATATGTCAAATGAGTAAAAAAAGCAAGGGTGTAGTTATTGCAACATTTCCACTCTCCCCTTACTTCAGTAGCAGAAATGAGTTTAAATAATTATATCATGCCATTCATTAGAGCTATATAGTGCTATCTCCATCACCTTTTTATTAGACTTATTGATTTCTTGGTTTCTACACATGGAGGTTAAAAAAAGTATTATGAAAGGATGGAGTAATTTATTTGTATGTTCAGTTTGTTCGGTCTCGTTCGTACCATAATATCTTTTTTCTCTCTCAATTGGTCTTACCATTTTATTTTTGTTTCAAGCCTGTTCGTGATCACTTTGGAAGGAATGGTGAAGCAAAGGATCTAGTGGAAGCTATCGGGGTAATTTTTTTTTAATCAAATTTGTTGGTTGTTACAATTTGTACATAGTCGAAACAGTCTGCTAAGCGTAGTTGTGATGTTGAGGCGGATAATTTTCTCATTCCTAGCGGAAACAATCTTGGGTCCAGCTATTAAGCTGGAAATTCATACATTTCTAGGAGAACAATTTCTCTCTCTTTTTTTTTATTAAAAAAAATCAAAATGACCAGCTAGTTGTCAGATGAGATTGATACTATGTTTCAAGGCCGAATTTGATGGTCAACCTAACCAACAGTTGTGATGATGCCAAATTGATATTTATGTCTGTTGATCTCTTAGCTAGCCTATGAATTAGTTCTGAAATATATTTTTTAGCATACTTCTGGGATAATTTAGGGGCTTATATATGAGTTGGGTTGGGTTCTCTAAGACACATTGATAGGTTGGAGTGTTATTAGTGGAGACATAATATAGGTTCGTTGGTTAGTACTTCCTTTGCTTTATGTTTTGGCGTGTTGGATTTGAAGCATGGATCCATGTATGTGCTTCATATATTTCCAAATTCATATGGATGATAGTGAATTTAGACGAGGGCTGGAGAGGCCAAAACGTCCTATAATTTGGAACAATGAGAGTACTTCCTCCTTTCCATGATATAAGACATTTTGGGTTTGTCCTAAGTCAAACTTACTAATGTTTGATAAATTTATAGAAAAACTTAGCAACATCTACAATATCAAATTAGTTTAGTTAAATCCTCCATTGGATATATTTTTATAGTATATTTGTTTTGTATTGAAAATGCTACTCCCTCCTTCCAAAAATGTGAGTCCTATTTCTTTTTGCACCAAGACTAAGAAGCAATTAATTCATTCACTATGTGATAAAACCAATGAACATGCAACCAATAAGCATTAAAATAGCTTCTTGGGTTCCTATCAACAATTTAATTTAGCACATAATGACTACAAATAGGACTTAGACTTTTGGAAAAACAAAAAAATGAAATAGGTCTTAGACTTTTGGAAGGAGGGAGTACTATATAATTTTCTATAAAGTTGGTAGAACAAAGCCAAAATGACTTGTAGTATGGAATGGAGGGAGTATGATTTAGCCTCTATTCTGAACCCAAGGTGTATATAAACGGATTGGAATATATGTTTGTTTGCTTTTGAACCGGAATAAGGTATCCTATGCTAGGCATAAGTTTGGGTTGAGTTCAGTTGGATTTGGATTTTGAATGGCAATGCAGTTCTATGTTGGGAGTTTGATCTTGCATGGGATGGGCTATGCTAATCGTTACCAATTCGCCCAAACCATAGCTCCAGAATCTGGTAGCCCCTACACAGAGCTTTGCTGGGCACTATGTTAAGCGCTGCCTATGTATGAGCTTCATTCCAGTTACCAATTGCGACTGTTAATTGTGTTTGAAGTTAACTACTCCACCTGCCTATGTTGTTTGTAGTGCACTGTATGACCCTGCCACTTTTTTTTTGTCTTTTTCTGCAGGAATGCTACGGTGCTGACTGATATTACATGTTCACTCTTGGACTTAGGAGTAGTGTTCTTATCTTTGGCCATGTAATGAACAAATCAATCCCTATCTATGAGCAGTCTTAGAGGTTCCTTTTGTGCCACAAGGTCATCAGTTCAGTGCTTGCTCTTTCCTCGTGGGTGTGTTAGAAGGGTGTCTTTTTTTTTCCTCATCACAACCTTGTTTCTTGTATTTTTTACCTGCTATATGAATATGAAACCTCCCGCTGTCTCGTGCGGTTAGTTCCCAAAAAAACAAGGTCATCAGTTAGCGACATCCTGATATTTTAGAGTTTTAGAAACAATGTATAGTGACAGTTTCTACTCTATGCGTCCACTCGATCTAATAGTGAATTCGGATGATAAATTGCTGGCATCAAACCGATCAAACTTTTCTATCGAGTCCCTGTTTAGATCCTACCCTAAAATTTTTCACTCGATCGCATCGAACGTTTGAACACTTTCATGCAGTATTAAATGTAGGCTAAAAAAATAATTAATTACACAGCTTGCGACTAATTTGCGAGATGAATCTTTTAAACCTAATTGCTTTATGATTTTAAAAAATAATTAATTACACAGCTTGCGACTAATTTGCGAGACGAATCTTTTAAATCTAATTGCTTTATGATTTGATAATGTGGTGATATAGTAAACATTTGCGAACTGTTCTAACCTTGTTTCTATATGCCCGAGACTAGCAGAAGTACTCGCATTAGGCCCCGTATCGACGTAAGATCTGACATTTTGTCTCGTGTGCATGAGATTTGCACTTGTCACTATCCTCCCCTGTTTTTTTAAATGATTCCCTGAAGAAAGTTTTCTCCTGAGAAAACGATGTCCTTGTCTGATTCTATATAACTTGCACCTTTGGACTGAATTAGTTACTGTTACAATTAGCTAGTTTGGTGGGGACTTGTCTTCTCGGATGCGTGGACTAGAAAAGTAAAAAAGAAGAAACAAAGACTGCCGTCTTATATCTGTTGACCATGGATAAATCTCAATTGGCAAGTAGTAGTTATACTCATTTATCGCAAAAGCTGAAAAAGAAACAATTGCAGATTTAGGTCAGTCTGCTGAAGTGATTCAGTCGGCAGTAGCTTGTGACTCATCGCTCACGCATGCTGGGTTTCAGAATTGCAGCCATGCTTATCATCATTGAGATCAATAAAAAATTTGGTGAAACCAGACGCTAGCCCCAGTATCTCAATTTGAGTGTGTATTAGAGACGTGTTCTCGAGTGTATGAGTGCGATGTGCTGGTTCAATATTTTGTAGTGGTCTGCGCGCTAAGAACACGGTAGATTAATCTATCTACGTTCGCCGTGGGGCTAGAAATTCCCACATTAATCGGAGAAAAAGAAAAGAAAATTAACCATTGGATTGTGATAAGTCTAGATTTTAATGGCTAAGATTTAATGGAGGTATGTTGGATCGGAATCGTACAGAGAAATACCGCTAATAATAATATATGAGGAGTTAGAGTAGGCTGAGTTAGGGATGGATACGAACGTCATTAAACAGTACGGACTTAAAGCACGATTAGAGTAGAACTTGAAGATGGATACATCCAATTCAAAACAGTATGCGCATGTAGGTGAAGGCAAAGACCAAGACAACTCATGCGTTCCTCAGACAAAAATCGAATGTACCATGCATGAAAAAGAAAAAAAATGACTCAAACAATGTCGAAAAAAATCATTCAATGACGAAGATCATTTGCAGATACACTGTACCTAATTAAAATGTACAGCGGTATAAATAGATCATGGATATGTATAAAATATTGTTATATTTATTAATAAAAAATATATGATGGCGTAGAAAAGTTGTCAGGATCGGGATACTAAGTAGTATCATTTTGCTCAAAGTAATATCATATCGTAGGATTGGGATACTATAAGATTTTTTTTAAGTTTAATTAATATATAAATAGACATTCTATATAAAAAATGTAGTACTGGTATATGTCACGCAAATAGAGACATTTATCAAGAGAAACCACGTTGGTTTTGATATATTTAACTGATTTTTATATAAATTTGAGCATATTTATTTATATTATAAAAAACGAAATTAGGAAAAATGAGAAGAGTCCAAGTAGGAATACAATTTAAAAATAACTAAAATTCGAAATTTAAAAAAAGAAATATTGAAAGAGTCCATACAAGAATCCACTACGGGATTAATTAAAACTCAGAATAAAAAAATAAAAAATTGAAAATAGAAAAAAGGAAAATAAAAGAAGACTTCAAGTAGAAATAAAATTTAAAATTAACTGAAATTTGGAATTAAATATAAGCAATATTGAAATAAGAGTACATATAAGAATCCAATAGTAGATTAATTAAAATTCGGAATAAAAATAACATAAAATCCGAAATTAGAAAAATTAAAAAGAGAGTTAAAGTAGGAATACAATTTTGAAATAACTGAAATTAAATATAAAAAATAAAAACATCAAAAGAATACAATAAAAAAATAAAATAAATTCTGAAATTAGAAAAAGAAAAAAAGATTTCAACTAGGAATACAATTTATAAATAACTATAAAAAATTAAAACTATTGAAAGAAAAAACAATCTAAAACACATGACGAGATTAAATAAGTAACGGGCTTATAAAGGAGCAGAGTGGTGGCGGTTGATGAGACATCTAAAAACTATTAATAAAACACCAAATAGAATCCTAATGACGATTAAAAGGAAAGATGACGGGCATGTTGTGAAGCAATCGGTTAAGTGGTTGGCGGGAACTTCTAGAAAGTAAAAAAATAAACCCCAATGATAATCATATTTGATTTTTAAAATCTCAATTACAAATAAAAATAAGAGGCAGTGGGCGGGTTGTATAGGAATACAATGACAAAGCCACCGATGATTGGTGGGTCTTCTAGAAAGTAAAAAAATGAATTCCAATGTTAGTTATGTTCGATTTTTACAATCCCAACAACAATAAAGAGTATGCGGTGAATGGGTCATAGAGGAGTACAGTGGCAGCGTTTGACGAGATTTCTAAAAATTATAAAAACATGAAACTTAACGAGACAATTGTAGCGCCCGTTCCGTCGTGGCGCCTAGCGGGAAAACTATCTCTTAAAAACCCTAATTGCGAAATTTGTTTCTTTGCTTGTTGTCTAGTGTCCGTGCCATCTCAGATCTCAAATCCCCGATCTATCGTCAAGTTCAATCCCGAATCCAAATCCTTCCCAAATCAAATCCCTCCGCAAAAGTCTATTTTGCCTCCCTCAGGTTCGATGGGCCGAATTCCTCTCGGCCCATCTCTCCCTCCCTCCCTATCTCTCTCTCTCTCTCTCTCTCTCTCTCTCCCCGCTCTGCCCGTGAGCCGCGCCGAGCCCTCCCTCTCCGCTCTCGCTGCCGTTCCCGCCGACGCCGCCCAAATCGCCGCGCCGGCCGTTGCTTCCCGCGCGCGCGCGCCGTGGTGGCCGACCGCCTGGTCGCCGCCGCCGTCAGCCTCTGCCGCGCCTGTCCGCGTCTGCCGCCCATGTCGCCACTCCGTTCCAAACCGCCCCCGCCGTCATCGTCGTCGTTATCGACTCGGCCCCGCCTCTCCCCGCGCGTGCTTCCAAGGAAAGGAGGCAAGGCTCCTCCTCATCGCCCTCTCTCCCTCCTTCTTTTCCCAAAGAGGCAAGGGGCAAGCCCACTTTCTCCCTTCCTTTTCCTTTTCTCTTCCCCGCCGGCGTCATCCGCCTCTGTCGCCATTTTGGCCGCGAGCGCCGAGCGCCAGCACGCGCCTTGACCGCCCAAGGTCGGTTTCCAAACCGACATTGCCGCCCTATAAACCCAGGCGCCCTCCCTTCCTTTTCCCCTCCCAATCTTCCCCGTTTTTCGCCCGCGCCATTGCCGTCCCTCTGTCTCTCTCGCCGACCGCCGCCGTCGCGTGTGCCGGAGGAGCCGGTGCGCGCTAGGACGCGGAAGGGGACTCCGGGCGCTCGGCTTCCTCCGCTTCCCCGGCCCGAGGCCGGAGAGATCACTCCCGTGCCGTCGGCTTCTCGTCACTGCGCCCCATCACCCCGCACGGTAGTGCCTCCCTCCGTTCTCCCTTCTCGTTCCATCTCCTCCCCTTAGACTCGGGTAGTAGCACGAGTAGCCTCCCCGTAGCTACCTGGTGCCGCCCCGACCGTTGCCGCCGCTCGCTGTGTGCTCGCCGCCGTCGCCGCCCGTGCTCCGTAGCGCCCGCTCGTCGCCGGCCCGCGTGGCAACCACGTAGGCGCCACGTCGGCGCCACCTTGGCCGCGACCGGATCGGCTGACCCGGCCAGCCGCTCCCTCCGTTCCCCCCCCCCCGTGCGCATGGTCCGCGGTGAGCCGTGAGGCTGCGCGTGGGCCCGCCGCACCGCGTCCTCCGCGAACCTCGCCCATGCACCGCGCCTCCCCTCCCCAAACCCTAGCACGCCCCGCGTGCACCTTGCTCGCGGTGAGCCGAGCCGCCGACAAGCGGGTCCTACCCGGGACCACGCAAGGTGGACCCGGCCCACCGGCTCTCTCTCTCTCCTCCCCGCCCGCGCGCATGCTTTGGGCCGCCTTCTCGGGCCGGCCGGCCCGTTAAGTTCGGCCAAGCCGCCCCTTTCTCTCGGGCCACGCCCTAGCCGCCCGAGGAAAGTCTAATTTCCCTCCCTCCTTCTTTCTTTTCTTTTCTTTTTCAAAAAGGATTTAAATAAATCCTTTTACTTTAGACCAAAAATCCAATAATCTTAGAAATTCAATATATTCCCAACCGTAAGCCCGTTTGACTCCGTTCAACTTCCAAAATTCTTCAAATCTCGAGATCTACCTAATGGCACGCTTAGAGGTCAATAATAGGGCCTTATTTTCGCCGTTTGCTGAGTTGTCCCGTTTCGCGTGTAGTTTCGAAGCCCGAAGACCCGCAGTGCGAGGATTTCGAGGGTCAAACTCAAGATCTCGAGCAAGGCAAGCTACCCTTGAACATCTTGAGCCTATATTTGAACTTAATTATGTTGCTTGAAAAATATTATGCATTGATAGGATTGCACTTAATCTGTTTGCCCCGTCTGCAAGGCAGACCGATGGGCTTACCTAGCTTATTGCATCTGATCCTTCCTTTGTTAATTGTTATACCATGTTCCCTTGTAACCACCTAGTTGCGCCTCGGTAATCGTGCACTCTGCACGAGTATCGACGGTCGCCTTCAAACTTAAAAACTGAGAAACATCCTGGGTAAAACTTGGGTTTTACAAAAGACTTGGAAAACCCGACACCTGGGTCGGTGCTTGCGAACTAAATGAATTTCCAAAATCGCGGACCGGGGAACGTACCGGGTGTACGGTCTCCCGCTCTTGCACTTAAGGACCGTTTCCTTGGAATTTCATCCGAACATAAGACAAGTGCGACCACATGGGTGGAATGGGACACCCCTGGCTGAGTAACTAGCTAATCGGGGGAGCCATGATGCCAAGAGACATGTGGATTCAACGGGGTGGTGTCGGGGAGAACCCCCGGGTTTCCTAGCACAGTATGGTCTGGGACCTAATCTGGTGTTGGTCTGGGACCCCTCTCGTTGGCATATGATGAACCTGTGTCGGCTTTCAAAATGCCTTGTCATGAAAGCCTTAAGGTCTCTAGTCGTGGCAGTTCTGCACGGGCTGGATGATCCGGGTTAGTAATGTCGTGTGGGTAAAGTGTACCCCCTTTGCAGAGGTTATTAAATTGTTCGAACAGCCGTGCCCACGGTCATGGGCGGATGTGAGGTGATTCCTAGCGTAGTTTTGTTTGACTACTGTTTTGCGAAATTTGCTGATGTGGTTTGGGTTCGATGCTTGGAAAATCTGCGGCTGATGGGATCAGCCAGGCCCAGGTGGCCGTTTGAAAGCTGTTGGCCGGATGCCAACCTTGATCAATTCAAAAGACTGATACCTTGCACATACTCAGACCGAACGAGACGCACTGTCTCATCCGTGTCGTTTGAGAAGCACTCACTTAGTTGTTTCAGAAAAGAGTTTAAATAAAATCAATTGCAAAAACAACAGCCTTTCCTTGAAGCCTGCATTAAACACTTAATTCCCCATGGCTTCCTGAGTACTCCCGTACTCACCCTTGCTCTATATAAATAACCCCCCCCCCCCAATTGCTGAAGAAGATAAAGCGGATCCCGCTGACGAGGAGTTCTTCCAGGAGCAAGTCGGCTACGATGAGTTTTAGGGTTTCGGCCTAGTTCCCAAGTCGCGCCTGTGATGTTTGGTCCAAGTCTTGGCTTCCGCTTCCCTTTTGTAATGCAGTTGTGAGCTCGGGATATGTCCGCAGCCCAACATGACTGTACTCCTACTCTATAATAAAGAGACCTCTGTTGTTGTGATATTCTGTCTTCCTGTGATACCAGCGCTGTTTCCTGGGACTGGTATCGATTAACAGGTTAATTTGGAGCGTCACGGGCTAGTTCCGCTTGGGGCTAGTTCGGGGCGTGACAACAATAAACTCTAAAAATTATAAGGTCTAATTTTTAAAGGTTTGGGCTTCTAAAAAGTATATAAAAAACCACAACGATAATCATGTTTAATTTTAAAATCTTAATGACAATAAAGAAGGACGGTAGCGGGTGAGACGTAGAGGAGTAGAGTGATAAAAGTTGATGGTGTTTTGGCGAAACTTCTAGAAAGTAGAAAAATGAACCTAAACGATAATTATGTTCGATTTTTAAAATATAGAGAAGATGCAGTGGACGTTCGTAGAGGAGTATATTTGACGGGACTTCTATAAATTATAGAAAAGAAGCCCAACAGGACAATAAACTCCAATTTTTAAAGGTTCCATGGAGAATGAATAGAACCAGTGATAGATCGAGCAAGCTAATCAAGAATAATATGACAGAAGTAAGGGGTATCAACTGCTGTGACTTTTAAAAACTATAAAACTAGAAACACGAGAATGATAAGGTTTGGTCTTTTAAATCTTAAGACAACGAGATAACTATTTAACAAATTTTAAATAAAATCATATTAAAAAATAAATAATTTTATATGGGTGCTAGCCGCGCAATTCTACGGGCCACCCAGCTAGTTTCCTATAGTTTATCGACTGCAGATTGACACTTTCGTGCAGTGCAGTCAACGAAACAAAATTAAGAGCAACGTTGTTCTTAATGCATCTTCCCTGTTCCCTCGCACGAACCCTCTAGGAAAGTATTACCATCACACTGCTGCTACTGCTACTCTCTCACTGGTACGTGTTGGGCCAGATGCTGCGGGTGGGCTGCCCAAACGTGAACTGTAGCCCAATCACCGGGTGTTTGGATCAGAGTGGCGTGTGAGTAGAGATGAAAACGGAGCGGATAGTTTCCGTTCGCTCCGGACAAAAAGGGATACGGATATCTTTCGGATCGGATAATTCTCGGATATTTTGGATACGGATACGAATACGGATATTTTCTCCCGGATATGAATACGAATATGGTATCAGGGTTTCCGTCAAATACGGATAATAATTCGGATATCCGGTGAACAGTGCTATTCGGATATCCGCAGGACCCATGAGACATACCCCATTTCTTTCTAACTCTATAACCTTCAATATACCTTTATAGATTTTAATAGTAGTTTATCTATCTCTTAACACTAGTCCATACTATTAATATTATTTAAATTTTATATAAAATGAGATAATTATATATGTTGATATTTGTTTCTATTAGAAGTTGAGTTAGTTTTCGTGTTCCGAGAAAAATTTATTTCCGTATTCGTGTCCGATCATATTCGATTCTTATTCGTATTCGAGATAATCCGTATTTGTTTCCGTATTCGAGCTATCCGTATTCGTTTTCGTATCCGGTAAAAAATATGAAAACGAATATGATATGAGCATTATCCATCCGTATCCGCTCTGTTTTCATCCCTACGTGTGAGTGGTCGAAGGGTATACTACGATCTATGACTATAAGTACCCTGTAGAGAGAGAGATCTAGAGAGAGAGGAGGCATCGAAAATTGAATCGCATTCAATTCAACCAAACTATACTTGCTTGCTTTCCTCCCGAATTCCCGAGTTAGAATCCCAAAATGGGCGCCAGTTCTCTTCTGTATACGCTGGACATCATGTTCACGGTGATCGCTATTGGGATTGTGGTCATCATGGGAGCTTTCGTACCTCGTCGGTGTCGGGACTATATTCTTGTGTTCAATGTTCTTGCGGCACTTTCGGCGTTGGGTTTGATCAAAGCAAAGATGGTCTACGGCGCACAAATGTTTTTGGCAGCAATATTGCACTTGGTCGAGATAGTGACAATTCTGTATACGTTTCGTAAAGAGTTGGTTCTTCTAAGATCTAATAAAGCCAGTTTGCGAGGTGTGTACATGCATAATCATTCGTCTTGCATATCATATATACCATATGATTACGAATAACCACACTGAATTCTGTATACGCTTCGTAAAGAGCTGGTTCCTCGAAGATCTGATGAAGCCAGTTTACAAGGTGAAGCCAGATTGCAAGGTGTGTACATGCATAATCATTCGTCTTGCACATCATATATACCATATGATTATGAATAACCACACTGAATTCTGTATACGCTTCGTAAAGAGGTGGTTCTTCAAATATCTGATGAAGCCAGTTTGCAAGATGAAGCCAGTTTGCAAGGTGTGTACATGCATAATCATTCGTCCTGCACATCATATATACCATATGATTATGAATAACTACACTGAATTGAACCCGGTATGCAATTGCAAGATGTACTCTTGAAGGTGATTGAACGGGCGAGACCATGGGCGCCGTTCTTCTTGGCCGGACTAGTCAGCACGGCCTACGGCATGGTTATTGTGTTCTTCGCCGGGGGCCAGCCGGCAAGTGCCTTCTTCCTTGGTGATTTCGGTGTCTGCTTCATTCTCGTCGGCTTGATTGTGATCATCGCCAGAAGCCAGCATGAACGAACACAGGATGACAAGGGCCTTTGGGCTGGTACTTCCCTTGTCTTTTACATTTTGGTGCTCCTTCTGGCCGCTTTCATAGGAAATCGTACTAGTGCTTGATTCCAGTCTGTTCTACTACTACACGTCCTGTAGTATTACTGCTGTTCCCTTTTCACACTAAAATGTAACGTCCAAATTTACGATCACTCTTAAGTCCTATATTCCATCATCTGCTGCGTCAGGTGGCTCTTACATGACGATGAAGGCTCTGCTTTCGCTTGTGTGAGTAGAAAGGTCGTGTGTGGTGTGGTATGCTGGTAGCAGGCTGTGCCGTTCTGTTAGTTTGTCTAAGGTTGTTCTGTGCTGTGCTGTTACCTGTTATTTGCGCCCTTTGCTGGCATGTAAGATACTATGTTATGCTTTCAAGTAAAGCTGGGTAATAATGAGCTTTTTATTCCAGAAAAATTATAGCTTCCATCTGAATTTCTCTAGTTAATAATCGAGTGTTTGGAGCTTTGTCAGAAATGTTCAATCTTTGTGCAGATATTTTGAGATTTTTTCCGTGCATTTCATGGTTTTCATAACATTTAAACAATTAAATGGTAAGCCAAAAACTCAACTAAGTGATCCACCCCATCGGCCCATCACTGCCGCGCACGGCTAATTATTCCCCTGTGTAGTGTATCAGGGGCGGTCCTATATGGACATGAGTGTTTAATACACAAAGGCCAATATTTTTTACACAAAAATTATGATTTGACGTGTGTAATACCTATTCATAATGTTTGCTTCTTCACAATTATATTTTTCACTAATCTACAACTACAACAAGACCTGTCAGATACTAGAAACACCCTGCTCAGCTCTAGCGGTATAACAACATCGGCCTGCTACAATCTCATCACCTACCGTGGTATGCTTTGGCCCCCTGCAAGCTTCGTTTGGAACAAAGCAATACCAAACACTTGCAAAGTTTTCTTGTGGCTTGCCTTTGGGGGAAGACTCAACACCAATGACAGCAGGATCACCAAGATGTGGGATTCCAACCCTCATTGCGGCGTCTGCCCGGCTATTGAAACATCATGCCACATCATTCTTCGTTGCAAGTTGGCAGATGGAATCTGGAGGAAACTGAACCTCCTGAATCAAGCCCGACAGAGTGCCAACTTGCTGCAATTTGTCGAACAAGTCATGACATCTTCGCCGCCCCATTCTCAGCCGGGCTGGCCAGTTTGTTTCGCGGCATGCACACATGGCTTATGGAAGGCGCGAAACCTGAGAACGTTTCAGGAAAAACTCCTCACTGAGGCCACCCTGTTGTATTAGATCGCCGATACACTGAAGCTTTGGGAGAACCGGGTTAAACCAAACAACAGAAGTGCAATTCGAAGTTGGATCAGTTGTCTAGAGTAGTTTCTGCAATGGCAACGATTTTTGTTTCTCCTCCTCTTTGTTTCTCTTTTCGTTTTCTTCTTCTGTTCCCTACCCCCCCCCCCCCCCCCTTCCTCCTCTTCTCTCCTTTTCCTCTTTCCCTGACATGTAAAACTTGACCACCATTAATAAAATGGTTATAAGATTACTCCCTTCTAACTTCGCCCAAGGCTTTTACAGGAATATAGGGTAGTAAAACCAGTGTACCTGCACAAGATTTCTCTTTTTTATTGAATTTTTTTTGGCTACCTCGTGTTGTGACACGTATTTTCTGGATAGCTTTGACTCCTCGCATGGACATGGGAGACCTGAAATACGTGGTACTCCCGGTAATTTCTCTGTTGGAGCTTGTGCAAGCGTATACTGGCGGAAATGCTACTGGACGAGCAATCTAAAGTTTATATACCTAAAATTTATAAGTCAAAAGTTTACATACCCGATTCAAAATTGAATTCAATTTTTTTATAAATAAATTTTTCTAACTTTTTGTTTTTTTAAAAAAAAATTGTGGTGTACTGTATTAGGAAAGGAAAGGGAGGAGGAAGGGGAGAAGGGAGCGCGGGGGGTATCCTGGTGTCCGGTATTTCTCACAGGCTATGTCCAGTTCGCTCGTGCATGCAAGCCACATGTACCATTACATATTTTGCAGAAAAGCACTTACCACTCTACAAAATAGTGAAGCAATTCGCCAACGGTTAATATCTCACTATGTTTTTTTCATAAATACCACCGCTCTCCTACAAAATACAATGCAAAGAAGACAATTCCAGTTCTAAAGGTGACGTTGTAAACATGAAATATATAGGGTGTTTTGTGCAAAACAGCCATCCTCACCCCGCGAAACCTTCCAAGCCATCCCTACCCGGCGCTCGCAGGGGCATCGCCCCCCACGAACACACACCACCGCCGCCGCCTACACCCCTCACCCTCTTCTCCTCCCCCTCCACACCTGGCCCTCCTCCTTCGGACTCACCATGCTATTTGAGCAATGGGGGAGGAGATATGTCGTTTCAAGATAGGGCTTGTCGTATCTCGAAGGAGGATCGTTCTGGGTGGCGTCACCGAGGGATGGCCGGTGGGGCCCTTGTTGCCAGATCCGACATCCATGCCTCTCCCCTGCACCAGATCAGGCGACCGACGAGCACCCTAGAGCACAGCTGCGCGAGGTCCTGTAGCGCGCGTGCCTAGGCCTCGTACTCCCCCTCCTTCCCAGGGACCTTGATGAGTTGGAGTGGGACGGCGTCGACGACCACAACTTTGCGATGATTGTGGCCATGCGATCCTACGTCAGAAGGCACGGGACCACCGGATCTGGAGGCAGTCGTCTCGTCAGCATCGACCACTTCACTCTTCCCTTCTCCTCGGCATCCTCGCGAAGCTAAAGGAGAGGGGCATCGCCACGCATCATAGCAGCACCAGATCAACACCAGCATAGCCGGCCAGCTCGGTGCCTCGCTACCTCTCCCTCCCACGGTGGTAGCATCACAGATTGAGTTGGCATGATGGAGGATTTGACACCGATGCTGGGAATCCACTACATATAGGGGAGCCGGTGAGCTCACGAGCCTCCGCCCGCCTCGAGCTCACCTCTGCCTCAGCGCGTTCTCCAGGTTCAGCAGATAGGAGGAGGTACGACCATCATATTTTGCCACTGTGTCGATGGGGCGGGTGTGAGGAGGTTACCTTATGGGATCTCGCTCTTCTTGTTGCCTCGTATCCCATGCTTGGATCTCGCCGTCTAGACAAAGCAGACGCCACTGACCGTCGCTGTGAGCCGATGCCGGTAGCCAAGCCTTCCTCCCGTGGCTAATGAATCAGATTGATCCACTAAGAGCATCTCCAAAAGAGGCCTAAGCAGGGTTCCTAAAAAATAAATTTTGGGATTTTCATCAATTCATGCCTCCAACAGATTCCAAAATAAGGTCCCAAAATTTACTCACAACTAAAACCAGCGCCAATCCCACCAAAAATTGGGAACATGTATACCCTCCCAATTGCACACATCACGCCACTTTTTTACCTGTATGCGCCAATTTCTTTCTATCGGCGTCATTTTTTTCTTCCACCCACTTTTTTCCCCTTCTCCCACATAGTTTTCTTTCTTGCGCTAGCTCGCGCACGCCGTTGTCTTCTCTTCGCCTTCGCCGCCTAGGGTTCCACAACGTCACCAATCGCCGTCGCCTCAAATCCTCCATCAACGTTGTTTCATCCGTCGTCTCCCGCGCCTCCTTCCCTTCATCCATAGAGCCAACGCCCCTCCATCTGGTGCACCGGAGGCCCTCGTACCGGTAGGCGGCGGCCCTTCATCCAGTGCGCCACGGCCCCTCGTCCCGTCGTTCGTTGTGCGGCAGCCCTCCATCTAGGGTGTCGCCCGTCCTCCATTGAGGGCAGTGCCGGCCACTGTCTTCCCATTCCAGGGTGCCTCCTCTTCTACATCCAGGTACCACTTCCTCAGTCCAAATCTCTGCCTCACCAAGTTGAAGGTCCTCATTTCCCTCTGAGCAAAAGTTGTTTAATTTGGTAGTACTTGGTTAAAATGTTAAGCAAATGGTACTTAAATACTTGTCTGTTACATGTCGGCATAAAGAATGTTGAGTAGAAGAAATCAGTTGAGTAAAAGAAATCATAAAATTTCTTGATTTCTTTTACAAAATCAATTGAGTGAATGTCGTCAGACGATGATTCATCCATAAGCCGCCCTTGAAACGACTCATTACGGATCAAATCAACTGCCAAACCATTATTCATCAGAACAAAATAAGTTTTTCCCCTAGCGACATTGTCATATCAATTTTTTTTAATAAAACTAGAATGTGATTGACATGAGAAAATCCTAACATGAGAATCGCATAGGATATAAACCTGCAGATTGATGACACAGTCGTGTAGAGGATCAGGTAGGCCTTCCGTTTTTTCACATTAGAGGTGAAATCTTCCTTCAATACCACCGCGGCCGGTGAGGGATTCTCTGGCGGTGGCAAAAAGGGTAGCTACAGATCAGAGCAATCTGATCCATGCGAGCGACCAGGTCCAGCGATCTCCCCTCCGCGCTTGCCCACGATATTAACGAGCCCGATATAGGATTAATTGTCTTTTCTTCTAGTGGCTTAACATCTTAATCAGATTATGGTCGAACTGCGGGCGATATTTTGCTTTCCACATGGTTGAGAGCATGTTTTACTGATTTGGAGATAAATGATTATACCTCAATTTTCTGGCAACGTGGAGTTGTGAGGTTCAATAATTTGAGATATTTTCACCCGGTTTGGTTAAAGATATAAAGTCTTTTTTCATATGGTAGAATGACACCGTCCATATGTTGTATCTGGTGTGCACATATATTCTCAATATTATTTGAAACCTGATGTCTTGCGAGGACATCGAAAAAATGGAGGCAAATCTAACGAAATAAGCCCAAGGGTAGATGTTGTGAATATGCATGATTCTCACTTCACTATAGCACCAATAGCTTGACTAGGGTGTTGACCTGGTTTCAATCCGAGTGGATCTAGTGCTAAATGGCCACCATTGATTGATGTTCAATGGTTGGTAGTGTTTGACTAATAAGTTGTTTTGACAATGAGAGTTACATGGCTAGTTTTAGCTATAGTGCTACAAAGCCGTTTATCTTTTGCTTAATTTAGAACTTTGCATTAGTTGAATATTTCATGAATAATAAAAGTTCATGTTCTATTCTAAAGCTTATCTTCTTGTTGATACTTTAGTTTAGAAGCACAATTAGTGTATGATTTGAGGAGTTACAACCACACATTTTGTTCGGCTTAACTGTTTTTCGGACAGATGTTGCCTATGCACTATCGTGTTTTATCACACTCTCGTAGTAGGTGACTACTCCTGGTTGTATTGGTTCACACCCACGAGTTGATGATCGTGCTTGTCGCACACTAATGTTTTTCAAATATGGAGGTGTGCAAGCCATGCAAAGGCGTTTTTCGAGTATATAGGTGTGCAAGCCATGCAAAGGTTCGTGTTGTATATGTTGAGGTGGTTGTGCCAATGATGATTGCACCGATATATTTTATTTTTTTTAGATATGTCTGAACATAATGGTTTTAGAATAAATATTACCATTGTTAGAGGTATTGATTATCTCTCGATGCCTATGTCCAGGGGACACTAACAAATGTGGTTTGACGATTCGCTCGTGGATCGTACTTAAAACATGTTGTTTAACTATGAGTAACCCATTTCTAGAGTTTAGTATAAATAATTAGGGTCAAACTTAGGCATTAGACGAGCTAGACTTTAACAAAAATGTGCACCACCAAAATCTGCTTGGCAATATCTACACCTATAATGTTGTAATGTTTTTGAGGGGAAAAAAAAGATACGGGTGTTGTGCATCTCACACCTCTACTGCTACGAGAAGAGACACGTCTCTACTGCTACAAGAAGGACAGTGAACCGGTGACCCGCTAATAGACGTGTTTGGTTTATAACAACGTCTATGCCCACGTCACTTCTCACTGACTCGGTGCCGGAGATCAACCAACAAGATGCCCTACAATTCCTTTTTAAGCCCGATAACTTCAAATAAAAAAATCTAATGGCAAGTTGCAACATAAGCGAAAATAGTAGAAAATAGTAGGAGTAATAATAATTTACATATCTGATCTCTATCAGCAGGCCCAGTGGCCCACGTACAACTAATTAATTTTAAGAGTCGAGAAAGAAAAAAGAGAAAAAATATCGACTGACCGACGTCTGAATTAATCGAGTGATAGGACCGTCTGAATTAAAAGTTAAAGACAAGTCACAGAAATAGTAATTAACAACATTGTGTGAATTATTATTTTTTAGGTACTACGTGATCGAATGCAGAAAATGTCCTTAGTTACATGTGATAGCTAGATTAAAAACCAAGTATACTAGCCATATATGTCGCGCGTTGCGCGACTGTGAGAAATATCTTTTGTGCGACACCTGCGATCGCTTCTCGTACTGCACATTGTAACTTAATTTGTTGAGTTTGAAATATAGTAGGACTTGATATACAATAAATTAAGTTCTAAATCCACTTAAATCATTAGTTTCTTATGAAACATAATGGTGTTATTCGACAATTATATCAACAAAACATTAAACCTAAATTTGGTGTTCATATCGTAATTCACATTAAAGCTAGTATTTCGTAGGCTTGATCAATGCCACATGGCCGAAGCATTTTGTTTGAGACTATCAACCAGCAAGCAGCCAAACATATTATTCTTTATTCATATGCAGTCAATACATTCTTTTTGGTGTCGAATGTAAATGAATGCTTGCGATATCTGTCAGGAATAATCTCCAAATATGGGCCTGCATATGAAAAATTCTGTTATTATGGACCATGCCAGAGATGCAAAACTTATATGAGTTATTACTGTTTAAAGGGAAAATCTGCTAGTTTCCTAGTAGTTAGAAAATAGGAAAAGTTCAACTCAGGACATGGATGCAATTAACTCTAAGTTGAGCTCCTTCAGATATTGCAGTTCTGCTAGTTGAATTGAATAACAGAACAACAGTTATGCAACAACAGTTATGCTTATATGGCCAGGGGTGGAGCTAGAACAAAATTAAGGGGGTTCCACTCATATATTTTAGTCTATTTTGGATTGAGTTTAGCTTGATACGGATGCCTAAGTTTGAATTAAGGGAGTGTATATATGGTGAAAATTGATAAACTATAGCTGAAAAAATTTCTAAACCTGGTTTCTGGGCACCCCCTGATACACCTAGCTCCGCCCCTATATATGGCAATCATTTTTTAGGTACTACTGTATGTGACTCCCATCTCAATTGAAGTATCCCAAGCACCTTAACTTCCCCTGAAGGGGAAATTAACAGATGATGACTTACCTACAAAAATCTTAAGATCATGACTTTCAGGCTGCACTTTGTACCTATCTAGTTTTATTTATTGCAATTTTCGATAATGCTCTAAGAACTATAATGAACAAACTATAAGTATTGTTGCAAGCCAGTAAGAACACTATCGCCAATACCTGGACATCGTCAATGCTGCAAACTATTTTCATTTGCAATAAAACAAATCGCCCTTGACTCGTAATCTCTGTTAATAGGCCATGCAAGTCATTTTACACAAAATGAATGGCAAACAATGCACAAAAACTAAAGAATCTTTAGGCAAATGCTAAATTACTATAGAAAAATATTTTTTTACATTCAACAGATGTGTATCTGTGAGAATAGAAGCTACTTATGTAAATACTCCCTCCTTCCCTAAATGTTTGACGCCGTTGACTTTTTTTAGCATGTTTGACCATTCGTCTTATTCAAAAACTTTTGTGAAATATGTAAAAACTTTTGTGAAATATGTAAAACTATATGTATACATAAAAGTATATTTAACAATGAATCAAATGGTAGGAAAAGAATTAATAATTGCTTAAATTTTTTGAATAAGACGAACGGTCAAACATGTTTAAAAAAGTCAACGGCTTGACGCCATTTAGGGAAGGAGGGAGTACGTAACAAATGGTAGCAATTCCAATTCACAGCATGTATGGACAGTGTGATTCAATCTCAAATCAGGAGCTATATGTACCTGATATCCATGCATAGTTGGCAATTTCACATATTGACAGATGGGAAAATAATTTTAAACTTTGCTATGTCAAATCTGCGAGCAACACATGTACATATTAAGAAGAAAAAATGAAGGCTAAAGCTCCTAAATTGCCTGTTGTTCTCGGTAACTTTTGCATGCGGCAGATTGATAATATTAATCAAATAGGATTTCAACAGGAAAGGACTATCTTTCTAGATTGATAGTGTGGACTGAAATTTATTTTCGCATAATATTTTAGCAGTTGCCTGGCTACTTCCTTACCTCTTGACTACACTCATCCTGCATAGCAGCATGGCCTCCTCATCAAGCTCCCAATCAGCGGAACAACAACAGTCATCCACTCATCTTGTATAGCAGTATGGCCTCCTCATCGAGCTCCCAATCAGCGGCGGTTTCCTCCATATTGGATCTGTCATCCCCCTCCCAATGTTGCTATCCTTCCGCCCTCCTAGGGCGAGGTAGTGGTAATAGGTCGGTGGAGAATGAGGAGGGAGGAGGGAAGGAGAGTAAGGCGCGGCCGCGACGACTGGGCATGGAAGAGGAGACGCTGGGGGCAGAGATGAGGAGGCGACAGCAGGGGCTGGGGGTGGATGGCATGGACTAGGTGGCGGCGAGGACTAGGAGGTGGAGGAACTTCGCCGGAGGGGGACGGGGAGGAGCCGAGGCGGTGGGGCTTGTGGCGATGATGGGGATATGGAGGGGCACGAGTGGGCGCGGGACTCAGCGGCGAGGCGCTGGGACTGGGAGGAGGAAAGCGCAAGGGGGAAGGAAGGAGGGAATGAAAATGGTGTAGGAAGTTTCTTTTGAAGGATCGTTTTGGTAGTATATTTGGGAGAGATCGAGTTTTGATAGTTTATTTAGGAGAGATCGAATGGTTCTTATCTAATCTGCTGATGGAAAGATCCAATGGTGCGTTTTCAATGAATCGTTGTATCTGACGGCTATTTTTTTTTCGGATGACGTGGCGTATTTTGGTGGTGAAAAACTTTGCTATTTTCACTACTTTAGATATATAGCCAGTTGGTAACCTGTAAACGTGAAAATAAGCCAACACGGTTCCAGAAACCTGCTATACAATATGCGTGCCACGAGACAAACATCAAAAAACAAAAACGATGATACGACGGCGCATATGAACACAGCAACATATCAAATTGAGAAAAGGAACATCTGCAATTTTAACATAAGATCGAGTGCACCCTTTAGTTCTTGGCATAGGATCAGTAGACGCAGCAGGAGTAACATTTTTTCTTGCATACCCCCCATGCTACTACTGCACGTCTACATTCCCGCGGATCAGCTGACGCCTGACTAGCTTCCCCAAGGCGCACTGCTCCTGCTCCCCGCAGCGTCTCCTTCGCCGCGGCGCCGCGCCAGCATCTCCGCGAGCGCGCGCGAGTGCGGCCACTCGGGGTTACCTCGCGGAACATGGCCTCAGCGCGCGCCAGCGAATCGTCCGCCGTGTCCTCCGCCACCTTCCCGGGTACGTCCGACAACCTGTCCGCGGCACTGCCGCCGTCCGTGGCACGCGTGATCGGCTTCCTCGTGTCCGCGAACTCCAGCTCCGCGAGAGGCGACGGCTTGTGCGTCTGGTAGTACTCCCTGTCCTCCTCCCTCACTTTCCGCCCCGCCGCCTCCTCGCCCCCTGGCGTCGCCTCCTCGCGCGAGTCAGCTGGCCGGGACGACGACGACCGCCGCCGCTTCTGCGTGAACGACGAGCCTCCCGCCGGGTCGGCGAGCTCTTGGGACCCAAGCTTGTCAGACATAGCGAACGGCGGGACGCGCTCCTTGGTGGATTCCGACGGCGTTGCTGCCGCCGTCGACGGGTTCTTTCCGTGGTCGCCGCCTCCGGTGGCCTCCTCGGCGCCGGAGAACTTGGGAGGACGGTCGGGGTAGTCGTCACTCGGCGGGTCGCCGGAATGCACGGATGGATCGCCTGCGCCACCCGCTTCCGTCGAGGTGGACAGGAGGCGGCGTCGCCCTGGTACGACGACGAGGCTGCGGAGATTGGTAGATGGTGGTCTTGAGGCAATGAGGCGTACTGCTCGCGCGGTGGCCATGCTGGTGGCTGGTCGATCGTGCTAGCTGCTGAGGATTTTCGATGGCTCGACGATGCCGTGTTCGCTCTCGTCGGAGGGTGGTCTTATATATGGAACGGCGTGCGAGCGGAGAGAGTTCGCCGGAGAAGGAGAGGAGGTGGGGGAGGGAGAGGTGGACGCGTGGAGGGATCGAGAGCATCGAGAATGAGGTGGAAGACACGAGTCGAGCACGGAGCGACCCTTTTCCTCTCTGGAAAGTGCGGGAAGACTGAAGAGCAGCGAGAGTTTTGGACTTTTGGCGGCGGTTGGGGCCGGGGCCAGACTGCCAGGTGAAATCAGCCCGCTAAGATTTCGGCCTTCCGGATGATTCGGCCCGCTCAGAGGCTACTTAGGAGTACTACTATTACATTTGGGCGTTAGGACAGGGAAATTGATTTGTCATGTACTCTTTCCGTCATATCAGTCGTTTTAGTTTTCTTATTATTACCTTTTAAAATTTTGATCAATTTTAGTAAAAAATTACAACAATTATAATAATAAATCAGTCTCTTTAAATGTGGCATTAAATATATTTTGAATTTTTGATTGTGTATAAGTGTAATATTTTTTTTCTATAAATTTAATTAAATTTACAAATATATGATTAAATAATTAAAATATTTTATAATATAAAACGGAGGGAGAAGATAGCATTATTGTTGCATCCTTGCAACTCATGCATCAATCATAGCTCAAACGCTATCACTCCTCGTGGCCGTACTAAGCTATGGGCTATGGGGGCCCGTGCTAACACGAGCGGCTGATTGATCAGCGGCGTGCAAAAAAGTCTCGAGCCAACGACGACGCACCATGGCTCGTTGGGCTTACGACGACGGTGTGATGCAATCAAAGCATCGCCAAACTCGCAACATGCCGCGATCTCTCTCACCGTCACACCAGACGCAGCACATGCACGCACGTTGCCGTGGTTCGCCACTGCGCGCGCGCCGCCCACCCGTCACGTCTCCACCGAGCCGAGATTGTGATACAGCCGCGTGAGATCCATCCATCCATGCGGCAAAGCTAGCCGCCTACCAGCTCATGTCCGAAGCGTCGTTGCTTTTTGGCTTTTTGGCCTTTCGTCCTCTGCTATTTGCAAGTACATTTTTTGTATGCCGTTGGGAACACGACTGAGCAACAAGGGTACCACATCGGACGAGTAAAAACGATAGCAACTGATCAGTTTTCTGCCTCTTTTTGTATCTGACCGAGCGAATGGGATGCGATGCGTCGGTGTGTGCGCAGCTGCCGGTGGGACCGAATTGAAAACGGCGAGAAAAGCCGCGGGCGACTTGCTGCCACGCATAGGAATGGGGGGCCAAATGGGGGCATGCGGCTGTGCCGTGCGCAGAATCGCACATACATTAGCATGTGAGCACTCCGCCGCTCGTCGCCCGTTGTTGTGTTTGTGTTGGGAGCCAGGACGAACGCCACTACTGTCGCTCGCCTTTCTTCTCCATGCTGTCTAGCTTGCTCTGTTTCTTCCCACTGTTTCTTCCGTTTGGTGTATGGCAGTAATAGTACTAGTGCCCTACTATCAAATGCATGGCACTACATTTGATACTAGTAGTGCTGGAGTATTTTATTATTACTTCCTCTGTTTCACAATGTAAGTAATTTAGTATTTCTCACATTTATATTGATATTAATGAATCTAGATAGATATATATGTCTAGATTCATTAACATCAATATAAATGTGGAAAATATTAGAATAACTTATATTGTGAAATGGAGGAAATAGTAATTAGCAGTATCACGCGTCTACTTAGGGAAATATGAAGAAGAAAGTCGTATTAATACTCCACTAGTCCTATCTCTACATAGATAGAGAGAATCTTGCAATCTTTCTGCGGATGTTTGCATGTTCATTTCGTCTCTTCTCGTGGACGGTATACGCATGTGTTTGTCCCGGATTATTTCAGTGGGGTGAATGTGACTGTCTACTCCAGTCTGAATAATTCTCTGCTGGCCTATACTAGCTTACATATGACAATGCTAAGAACATGCCCGGTCCAAAAAGAATTGTTTGCCACAGACTCACAGGTCGGTTTAATCTTGGCATGCTCATCAGAACAAGCCGGGATTGAAGAGATTGTATATATGCACACAGGTTGCTTCACATCACATGGTTGATTTGACCTTTGTGCCAAGAACATCTGTACGTGCCCCTCCAAGTCAAAGACGAATCCAACATCAACACGAGTTTGCAAGTAAAATAAAACAAAAGATACAACCCAAGGCGCGTCGTCTCAGGCATGTTCTTGGCACGTAAATGCACTCGTGAAGCACGGGAGGTCCGGCTCTGGCAGCACAATTCAGTTCTTGTACTTGTGAAACAGTACGTTTATCTTCGTAGTATAATCATACTATTGCACCAACCGTTGCTGCCCATTTGCATCCTGCAGCATATTCCTGTCCATTAATGATCTCATTTGGTAGTCCGTAGCCGTTGCAACTAACAACTCCTACGAGCTGTATGAAGTTCATCCTTAGTGCTCTAGAAGAAGAGTTCTTCTCGTTGTAGCAGGTTAAGAAAAAAAAAAGGAAAAATGGTTCTAAAAAAAAGATTTCATTTAGTACCACCTGGAAAGAACATAGTAGTATATTGTTTATACTTGCCCACAAAAACATAAATTGAGAACACTAGACCGCAAATGAATGACAAAGTATGAATTAACAATGTCAGTTGCTCCTAATTCACATTTCGTACGTGTAAGTACACTAACGCTAGTGCGTCATGACGCTAAGATGTACCTTTTGATCATTTTTCTTTGAGGAAGTTAGTTAGCCAGCTACTAGATTAGTTATTAGCTTGATTGGGTGCGTGGTCTGCTTCTGTAGAGGATTATCCAACTGACTGGACCAGAGCCAGCTGAGGACCAGACAATTTTCGATGTCCATGGTACCTATTGCAGCTAGTCATAACAAGTTGTTCATAAGTCATAGTAGCCAATAAAGTTTCAGTACTATTTCCTCCCTCGTTAACTAACGGAGAGAAAAGTGTTCATTTAGCACAAGCAGGAAGCATAACTAACTAAGCTTAATAACGAAATGTATGGATCATGACTGGCGAGTCAATGTACAGGACATGAAAACCATAGATTCCTAGCAGATAGCAGTAGCATCAGCAACCAAAACGCTACATAGTATAAAAAGTTAGGCTCAGCTCGCTGCAGGGCTCACTCACACTAGCACACTGTCAGTCCTTGTCACGTTTGCTACGGCCATCCCGTCCAATCCACCGCAGAAACGCCAATGCCACCTCCAAGAACCAAGCACCGGCCGCTTCTCCTCGCCACCACCTTCCTCTCCCTTCTGCTGCTGCTGCTGCTGCTCAGCTTGCTCTCCACCGCGCACAAGGCATTCGCCGTCGCTGACGACGACGGCCACCGCGCGCGCGTGCTTCTTGCAGCAGACGGCGGCGAGAGGAATGCCGATGCCGAGCACGCGGCCGCCGTGGACCGGCATTGCGCCGGGACGCTCCACCGGGACGTCTGCGTGTCGACGCTGTCCACCATCCCGAACCTCGCGCGGAAGCCGCTCCGGGACGTGATCTCCGAGGTCGTGGGGCGCGCCGCGTCGGCGGTGCGCGCGTCGTCGTCCAACTGCACGTCCTACCTCCAGCGGCCGCGGCAGCTGCGCACGCGCGACCGCCTCGCGCTGTCCGACTGCCTCGAGCTGTTCGGGCACACGCTGGACCTGCTGGGCACGGCGGCCGCGGAGCTCTCCGCCGGGAACAGCACCGCCGAGGAGTCCGCCGCCGGCGTGCAGACCGTGCTGTCGGCGGCGATGACGAACCAGTACACCTGCCTCGACGGGTTCGCCGGGCCGTCCGCCTCGGAGGACGGGCGCGTCCGGCCGTTCATCCAGGGCCGCATCTACCACGTCGCCCACCTGGTCTCCAACTCGCTCGCCATGGTGCGGCGCCTCCCGACCCAGCGGCGGCGCGGGGCGGAGGAGGAGCCATTGGAAGGGTACGGCCGCGTGCGACGCGGGTTCCCGTCGTGGGTGTCGGCGTCGGACCGGAGGCGGCTGCAGCAGCAGGTGGCGGCGGACGTGGTGGTGGCGAAGGACGGGAGCGGGAAGTTCACGACGGTGAGCGAGGCGGTGGCGGCGGCGCCGAACAACAGCGAGACGCGGTACGTGATATACATCAAGGCCGGCGGGTACTTCGAGAACGTGGAGGTCGGGAGCGAGAAGACCAACATCATGTTCGTCGGCGACGGCACGTGGAAGACCGTCATCAAGGCCAGCCGCAACGTCGTCGACAACTCCACCACCTTCCGCTCTGCCACGCTCGGTAACCAATCCTTTTGCTCAATTCGTGAACCAATTTTCCAAACCTTTTTTTGCATGCACACCGGTGAGAAGTGAACTCGATCTAGATCATCGTACGTGTTCCAACGTGTAGTTAAATTACTGCGAGTTGCCCATGGATGAGAGGGGCCAATATAATCTCATCCTGTTTGGCACGAGGCGCTGTCGTTTGTGTGGGTGACGCCGCCCAAATCGCAGGTATCCCACGCACGCCTCTGGTCCGTTTTTTCCAGCAGCCGCGCGCGTCGGTTGGTTCGATCGGGGGATGTCGAGTTGCCGACAAACCAATCAGTTGTTGTACCTAGTTTGTAGTACATGGCCCAGCTCGTGAGCGAGTGTACGTACGTAAGTACTACGTAGACTACATCGGTCACGTGTATCGCTGTCAAGTACGCATGGTTTTGCTTGTTGTAAGCACGCAGAATTAAGGTTGAGCTCTAGGAATCAGTAAATCACAAACGTAAGACACTTCAGCGAGACTTTGCGAAGAATACTAGCAAGTTTGAATCAAGTCTCATTGTAGATAGAGGATTTGATTACGGATTGGTCAATACAAAACCAATTTATCACCCATCACCTGGTACCAAACACACCGGGCCAGGAGGTGGTTTTCAATGCAAGATGACATTATACTATTTACCCTACAGTACAGTGCTAGGAGTACGTACAGGCACAGTTTCTTCTTGCTCTTGGGCTCTTGGCATTTGGAGTTATGCAGCACGGGAATGGTTAGGTGAGGGGGGAATTAGCCATTAAACGCGTGGCTGGCGATCGAGCACTGCAATTTGCAAAATCGAGATGCATATGCGTGCTCTGCCTAAAAGGCTGCAAACAAGAAACAACATTGGCTTGTTGGCCTGAGCAACTCTCTGATCTGAGCGCATTCAACCACTTGTACAAAAGGGTAGCCAATTATAACACCATGGAATACTAAAAACTTTCTCGGATCTCTTCTTTTCTTCTTCTTTTTTACATCATTTTTCCCTTTTTCGTTGGTTGGATGTGAACTGGTGTCGATCAGCACTAGCTGGTCCCCTGTGGGGATGCCGGGTTTGCCCCATCCTCCAAGCTGCTTCTCTAGAAGAAATTAAGAGCGAAGGCATACATGCACAGGCATATCACACATTCATACCAACAATCAGTTATAGCACTCACAATCCAGTGGCAATGGAGTAGAAATTGACCAGCCATGATCGTGTTCGTTGGAGGTGAATCTGATCTTTGAGGCTTATTGGTTATGACCAAGATGCCACATTAGCTAAGTACCAACAGCAAAGTGACACTAGACGCCGTACCAATTCGCGTGGCTTTGCCTGCTGGTTGCTCGACATGAACACGCGCACGGTACAAACCATGGGAGCTTAACAAATTTTTTTTGAAACCGATCGATATGGCTCTTTTTTTAAGAACAGATCGATATGGCTCGTAACTGCATTACTGCAGTAGCGGCTGAGGCGACGCTCCCCGCAGCGGGAGAGCATCGTGGCCTTAACTCCGGCTCAGCGAGACGGGATGTGGTTGACACGCCACTGTCGTGTGTCGGTGGAGGTTAATGCGTTTCGTCGGTGCCATGGCCAATGTTTGCACGTAGTAGCAATAGTAGTACTACTACTCATCATCGCCGGATCGCCCACGTACGAACGTCCGCACTATGAATGCAGTTGTCTGTGTCGTCTCTCGGCTGCTGTTGCTAGGCCATAGGACATGTAGTACCACATCGCGATATCAACGTTGCATCGATCATGCGTGCTCACGTGAGCTGTGGAGCGTCGTGTGTAATAAACTGACAGTGTGAAAAAAATTGTGGTGTGGTTGTTGCAGCCGTGGTGGGCACGGGGTTTCTGGCGCGGGACATAACGGTGGAGAACGCGGCGGGGCCGAGCAAGCACCAGGCGGTGGCGCTGCGGGTGAACGCCGACCTGTCGGCGTTCTACCGGTGCAGCTTCGCGGGCTACCAGGACACGCTGTACGCGCACTCGCTTCGCCAGTTCTACCGCGACTGCGACATCTACGGCACGGTGGACTTCATCTTCGGCGACGCCGCCGTCGTGCTCCAGAACTGCAACCTCTACGCGCGCCGCCCGGACCCCAACCAGAAGAATGTGTTCACGGCGCAGGGCCGGGAGGACCCCAACCAGAACACCGGCATCGCCATCCAGGGCTGCAAGGTCGCCGCCGCCGCCGACCTCGTCCCCGTCCAGGCCAACTTCTCCTCCTACCTCGGCCGCCCGTGGAAGACCTACTCGCGCACGGTGTTCCTGCAGTCCAAGATCGACAGCCTGATACACCCCAGGGGGTGGCTCGAGTGGAACGGCAGCTTCGCGCTCGACACGCTCTACTACGCCGAGTACATGAACCGCGGCGACGGCGCCGACACGTCGGCGAGGGTGTCGTGGCCGGGGTACCACGTGCTCACCAACGCCACCGACGCGGCCAACTTCACCGTGCTCAACTTCGTGCAGGGTGACCTCTGGCTCAACTCCAGCTCGTTCCCCTACATCTTGGGGTTGAGCTGAAAGTGGTGGCTTCTGGACAGTCTCTGGAGATGGGGATTTTTGGGTCTTATACTGGTTTTGGTCCTTTTTGGAATAAGAGTAGCTCATCACAGGTTTAAGATAATTTGTAGTAAACCTGGAGCTACCACCAGGCCATCACCACCAAGTGTTTTGTTACGAGGGTTGAAGCCTACAATGGCCGAAGGCTAATCATTGGAAGGGGATAGGTTCATTGCTTCTGAGCTCTTATTCGTCTCTGCTGTACAACAAGGTACGGTTGTTTGTTGGTGTCGAATTATGGACAGATGACAGTGCAATAGCTAACAGTTGAAGTAATACCCGCAGTACAACATCCACAAATTTCACGCCACATATCAACCATTCTATACAAGTGACAACTATCGTAGTGTCATTTCCAATTTCGTTCAATAAAAACGGGGACATGTTACACAACGATTTCCCTCTCCCCTAGTATTTATTATTCATGAAATCTGGGCGGCATCCTGATGACGCGAGACTACATCCTTGCTCTTTGCAGCTCCAGCTTAGCGATTGTCCCAAGATGAACTTCATCAGGGCCGTCGGCGATCCTCAGTGTCCTAGCAGTTGCCCATAGATGTGATAGAACTGTGTCTGATGAGAGACCAGCACCACCATGAACTTGCATTGCCATGTCAAGCACTTTCAGGGCCATATTTGGAGCTGCCACCTACATGAGGCCATATTTCACTGAACTTCTGTTCTTGCTAGAAACGATTAGAAAGAAGGTGCTGATCCTTGACTCACCTTGGCCATTGCAAGGATACCACGAGCTTTCTTGTTCCCATGTCGGTCAAGTTGATCGGCTGCTTCAAGCACCAGAAGTCTAGCCTGCTCCAGTTCTACCCGGCACTGGATTCCACGTACATGTCAAGGAATGCAAATAACAGAACACAACAGGAAAATGCACTAAAAATATTTTAGGACACTCCTGAACTGAGCAATAGAAAAAATGATGGAACTTCATAAAAGACCATGGTTAAGCAGATAAACAGGTCATACCTTCGCCAGATCTGCTAAAAAGGAACCATGTTGCGCAATCTTTTTTCCAAAAGTGGTCCTACTTAAGGCCCTCTCGACCATCAAATTCATGCCACGTTCTGCTGCCCCTATTAGTCTCATGCAATGATGTAATCTTCCAGGGCCTAGTCTTCCCTGCAAAGCATCTTAAATATGATGTGGAGAGCACATATTACAGTAGCATAATTGGTACAAGATGCAGAATACGGCTTACCTGAGCAATCTCAAAACCCCGGCCTTCCCCAAGGAGAATATTTGTGGCTGGAACGCGCACATTCTCAAAAGTAATCTCTGCATGCCCATGAGGTGCATCATCGAAACCAAATACTAACAACGGTCTCCTTATCTGCACTCCAGGTGTTTTGACATCAACTAAAATCATCGATTGCTGTTTATGTTTAGGTGCAGAAAAATCTGTCTTCCCCTGTATATAGAGAAACAAACAGCTTTAATATTAAAATAAAAAAATTGAACTATTGACAGCATGCATTCATTGATAAATGTTGCAATTACCATTAATACAAGAATTTGGCACCTTGGATCCATAGCCCCACTGGTCCACCATTTCGTTCCATTTATCACATAGAAATCTCCTTGCCTGTCAAGAGCAAATAACTTGCGAGTAAGCACAACGTAAACAGCTTAAACTACACAATGTCCAAGATAGTGGTAAGAAGTACAGTATCATTAGTTTCCCGAATAAACACTGAATTAGGTCTGTTAGCCCTTAAAGTAGATAATAACTTGTAATTAAAGAACAACAGCCTCAAGGACTGGCAACAAAATGCATGCAAATATTTCCCTTTTTTCTCACCTTGATATTGAACACTCGATGTTTGTTGCATCTGAAGATGCAACTTGTGGTTCTGTCATTGCAAATCCAGAACGAATTTTCCCTTCCAACAAAGGAACAAGCCACTGCTTTTGTTGCTCCTTAGTCCCATATCTCAACAGGACCTATAACAAGGTGGAGATATGGAGTGTTGCTCCTCAACATATGCTCTATTAACAAGATACTTGAATGTATTTTAAAGTCTTTCTTATAAAAAAATATGATAATTTGTATCTTACCTCCATGTTGCCTGTATCAGGTGGACCACAGTTAAATATTTGTGGAGCCCAAATTGAACGGCCCATAATCTCACATAGATATCCATATTCAAGATTTGTGAGACCTGCACCTAGCAAAAGCTCCTCAGAACTTCCAGGAGAACCATGAGACATGTCCTCAAACAGAAGCTCTCTTGCTCTAGCAGCACTGTCTAGCTGCAGATCAAACATTTTGATTAGAAGAAGAAAGTCCAAAATAAATGCAGTCTACAGTACTAACACGACAAATATGTGTGATGAATCAATGTATCAGGAAAAAAATGAAGGGCCTTAAGGTTTTAATATAAAAAAAGGGAAAGTTACCGGAATAAACAAGTTCCATAGTCCCTCTCTCTTTGCTAAGGCTTTTAGTTTTTCTTCTTCTGGATGAATTGTCCACCTTGAGGTCGAATGTGCGCGTTTATAGAACTCACTCTCCATCGGGTATATGTAATCTTCCATAAACTTCATCAATTTGTTTCGAAGCTGCATAACCTTTTCACTAGGAACAAATTTTCCTTGATCTTTTGTCGAAATTGATCCTTCATGCTTTCTTTGGAATTCTTGCGATGGGCCATTTGAGGCATGCATACCTGATATTAAAAGTAAAGAAGTTAATTTTTTTTATTAGACTTGGAAAGAATAAAGAAATATAACCACATTTTTCATGTCTTTGCCAACACTATTATTACGAAATAACCATAGAAATTTAAGAAAAAAATAAGCAGCATTTGCACTCGCCAACCATATGGTATGGACTGTGGAGAGATTATAAAATATAATTACCCCTAGCAGGCTGTTCTCTCAGGACATTTTCTCTATTTATGATATCCCAGGCACGGTCAACCATAGCATTAGCAATCTTGCCAGAAAATCTAGCACGCTCACCACCTGAAGCATTACCCTGTGTGACAGCTCAAATAAATTAGAATATATAAGCAGAATTAGATTTCAAGGGTTACAGATAAGTACCATAGTCCATCTGTGATATACTCCTGCATATATAGATGCCCCTCGAAAAAGCGAAAAGGCAACATAAAACTTCCAACTTGCAGCCGGCCAGGGTCTTGCCTGAGAAACAATTTTAAAGAATATAATGATTAATGAGGAATAAAGAAGCAATAAGTTTGGTGTATATATTCAGCCAGTATCAAGATGTTGTTCAACTCCACCATAAGAATAACTTGTAGACCAAGATGTAGGAGACGTGATTCTTACAGAGATAGAGCAGTATGCAGCGAGGTACTCTTCCAGTGGGGGAATGCCATCTGGAATGCCAGTATATTCAAATCCACCATAAGAATAACCTGTACTAGTTGTTGCATCAATAATATACGGCTGCACGTACAAATCATAATAATCAAGATCAAAGTGATTAATAATACCATTGAACACATAGTAAAACATACTCCGTCCGTCCCAAAATATAAGGGATTTTGGATGGATGGGACACATCCTAGTACTACGAATCAATTTAAGTGCTATCAGACATAATTGATTAGTTATTGGTACAAGGTGTGGTTAGAAAGTAGGGACATTGATAGTGGAGTAGCAAATATAGCATGTTGAGATAATAGCAAATCCAAAATTCCAAAGATATGTACTCAGTGCTAGCAGATATAGTTGCTTTGTAAACATATTGACATGCTGCAAGCTGATTCCATATCAAATGTAAGTCTATCATGCAAGAAATATTACACTAAATCAATTGAAAAATTAATATGCATGCCAGCTTTGTTTCTAATTGGGGTATGTATGCACATATTTCTCTGGTTGTTACCAACTATGGCCAGAAAAAATGTCAAGATCTCTGGAATTAAATACAAATGCTATCAAAGTATTAGAGTGACTAAAAGAAATTACTATGTATACTCCTCATTTATATATACTATATAACTAAATTCAGTTAAGACATATCATTCCTTAATGTTTCTTTCAAGAGTTAAGACTGTCTAATAACAGCACAAAAACACAACATAAAAAGGATGCATAACAATATTTTAAAAATATAAAGTGCTTCATACCAAAGAGCTGTATGCAACATCACACATTTGATTACCCAAAGTAGATAGTTCCCAATCAAGTACACCAATAACTCGGTCCTGCATGAGAAGTGGTATGTTGAAGAACTTAAACAACTAGTAATATGCCCGTGATGCATTAGAAGATTGCATAAATACTTGTTTTTGATGAAATGCATAAATACTTATGATGCCAAAAAAGATGCAAACCTCTGTTGGATGAAAAACAAGATTATCAACACGGTAATCACCATGAACAAGACCTGTTCCAAATCCTGCCGATGAATCTTCTTTTGGTATATGTTCTTTCAACCAATGAGCTAGATCAAGCATCTTCTGGTAACGAGCAGGCTTCCCTTCACCAGTGGAAGAGAGATATTGCCTCCCCCATCTTTCTACCTAAACCAGAATAGGTTAACTATCTTCAGATGCAAATGGATTATCACAGCAATCATCATTCACAAATCACAACATGACAACTAAAACTCTCCTCTTGAACTTAAAGTGATCAAATCATAGGTTGTAACAGCTGGGAACAGGCAATCCATTGCTGTACTCACATAAGCAAGTGATACTCAAAACTCACGAGAAACTACATGTCTATATGCATATTTCACTTATAGATTAAGAATATTAGTATACTACTGATACACCACCTAGGAGTATCCAATTCCTTTCCTTGGCCTAGGAGCTATGGCCTGACCCCAGTTAAAATAAACAAAAAAAATGGGGAGAGAAGATTCTAGAGTTACATTCAGCTCAGCTGTTAACTGTACCGATGCCCAAAAAACTATATTATGCAACTCAATGACAACAGAAATGAATGGAGTTTTGTTTTGTTTTTACAAAGCAATCAGAATCAGAGAGATTGAGATAAGCGTAATCAAATATAAGGTAAATACCATGAAACATGGTATCACCTACTTGTCTTTTGCAATAGTTATCTCTTCTCCCATACTTCTGCAGTCCAATTGCAGTCACGTCAACTTTGTGTATAGCAGCCAAAGTTTCAGCAGCTGCAAGATATATAGTCTTTCTTTTAGTTGGAGTTACTCCCTGCATAAACAAAGGGCACAGAAATTCTTTTTACTAAATCATCATGAAGACAATCATTATCAGTTCAAGGAATACATTTCAAGGAGCATATATAAACCCGTCATTGGATGGTGAGATTTCTCATATCAGCTGCTACATCAACTGTAATGGTGTAAGGAGGAAAGATTTGAAAAATTGCTATGTTATTGCCTTCTATAATTTTAGTGTTTAATCAGGGTCGCATAGATGCTGTCCAACGGCAAGGTAGCAACTTCTTAATCAACTCCAATACTAGGTTTCATTTGGTGTGTTCCTTACGCACATAGAAGAATAAATGCCCGGTATTTGCTACATGGAACCTCATGACCTAGAAATACGCCTACCTGATAGGTAAAAATGTACAGATTTCATACTAAATCATCACCCAGTAAGTAATGCATATACCAACAGTCTGAAGAATATGCAAGACAAAGAATGCTCACAAGAAGCGTACCGTCAACTTGTTGTCTGGGTATATTAGTCCTTCTAGATGCTCCATTATATAGAAAGGAGTTCCAATTACACTTGCATCAGTGCAAAGACAGAACACCTTAGGGACAGGAACATCAGTGTAAGTGCCCAAAGCTTTGAGGACCTGCTCCAATTCAAACACAACTCAAGGAATTAGCTCATAGCGCTCATTCGCTCGTCAGTTTCGTATTTCTCTTAGTACTAAACAGGAAAAAAAAACTACCTAGCCAGTAGCATATGCACTTTACATGTACACTTTTCACTAATCAGCTGGATTTACGTAGTTCAATCAGTGAAATAAGTTCGACATGATAATTCCAGAGTAATTTGCATCACTATCATCAAATGGAACTCAGAAATCTGGACGCATGACTCCTGACTTTTTGAGCCTTTTCACCAGGAAATGCTGATTCCACTTTCGTTAGTGCTTTCGCACTTTGACTCGAGCAAACAAGCCCGCCCTTACCTACCAATCATATCAGATCGGCATCCATCATACTATCGGAGAAACTGGAGCTTTCAATCGATCACCAGTACCCATCATACCATCGGACAAAGTGGAGCTAAATCGATCACGGGACGCTGCAAATCGAAGCGAGAAGAGGGGGACAGAGAAACGAAACCCCGACCTGGAACTCGCGCTCGACGGCGTGGGCGGACTGGAGGATGGCGCCGGGCGGCTTCTTCCGCAGCACGTAGCGCGCGGTGACCCCGCCGGGGGCGGAGGCCTCGATGCAGTAGGTGGGGTTGGACTGGCCGTGGCCGAACTGCGTCAGGGCCAGCCCCCGCGCCGGGGAGGGGAACCCGGCGACGTGCTCCGCCGCGTAGCGCAGCAGCGCCGCCTCGTCGATCGCGTGCGCATCGTCGACCGGCCGCAGCAGCCCCGAGGTCAGCATCGCTCGCTCCCCGCCGGCGACGACTAGGAGAGAGAAGAGAAGGAAGGGGAGGAGGCGATGCGCCGATGCCACTACTGGTCGTCGCGGATATCTTGTCCAGAATCAAGGAAGGGGAGTACTGCTCAGTTTGTCACGCCTGACAGCGACCCTAGCAAGTTTGGATCAGGCGCTGCCGTGCCGGATATGTTTTGTTTGGCAAATAAAATTGGCTTGGGATACGACTCCACAGAATACAGCGCCACACACTCAGAGTTATAAACTAACCTATAAGTCGAAAAATCTAAACCTAAATAAATAAGTTAGCTTTTTTAAAACTATAAGCCACTCTAATACTATTAAGCCAAAAACTAGGTTGGAGAAGTTTTTTTTTTTGTTTATGTGAGCTACACGTATGACTCCACCACTAAATTTAGAATATTAAATCACCAGCTTATAAATCATATAAACCAATAAACTGTTTGAAAGTCCAAGCCAACAAACCTAACTCTAAATAAAGAGGCCTCGGAATCCAAAGTTTAGATTAGTTCACATATATAAACTTCATCGTTATTTACTAGTATACTAGATCTTTTCGTGATTTGAAGAGAGACGTCACTACAAATATATTTTTAAAATGAATATGTTTAGATTAGTTTAAGACTGACATATATAAATTTCATCGTTGTTTACTATTAGATTTTTTTCGAGATGGATTGAACACGGGACTTAAGAGTTAAAATCACACACCTCTTACCACTGCATTATAAAGAGCATTTTTTTACTATTGGATTTTATACTTACTCTATTATAATATTCTGATTCCTCAATCTAATTTGGGTTGTTCATATTTAAGTTGTCAAATATGTGCATCTATTTAATTTTTTACCAAATTCTAGTAAATACATAAAAAGTTCTACCAAAACTTGATAATATTGTTAAATAGTCAAAATTTGGTAAGGTTTATTTTAGCTACAGCCTGAACAGACAATTTAGATTTGGTAGACGTTAAAATTGGAAGTTTGGTTGAAATTGGAACGATGTGACGGAAAAGTTGGAAGTTTGTGTATGTAGAAAAATTTTGATGTGATGAAAAACTTGGAAGTTTGAAAAAAAAAACTTTGGAAATAAACACGGTGTTTGTCTGCAAAATTCCGGATCGGTCTGATCCGTAGTCGTAGGTTCGTAGCGATCCAAACAAGGGACTTGTTTGAAAAATGATCACCGTTTTGTCGTCAGATCTACGAGGAAGAATCTTAGCCGTTGATCAAGACTGCTGATCGTACTAACCGAGGTCGTCGAGGCCGGCAATGCTTGTACCGTACCACTTTTGCCCATTCTAGATTTGGATTTCTACGATCATAGTGGAGTTTCCAGTGTCAATTAGCGCCCTTTGTTAATTCAGAGTTACTAGAACATTTCGAGATGGAGCTGCTAGTGAAACATCGTAACTTACAAGGTAAATTCAGAATTTCAGATACGTCTGAACTCTGAAGGAGGTTAGCAATCGCATCACTCACTATACCTGCAGCTTTGTTCCATGTCTAACAAATTCAGACATCTGTTTTGTTTTAATATATGGTTTACTTCGGATCAATAAAACGAACTGACAAATTCAAAGCGCATGCAGTTTAATTACCTGTCCAGGTACACAGTGGCAACATTAACATTTAACAGTTTAATACTATAATTATACTTTTAAAATTTAACTTGTTGGTTGATTGCAGAACACAAGCAGGACATGAATTTGTTCTATGTCGTGCTGAGCAATGACACTGCATTCAGTTGGAGAAAAACATCGAATACATGCTACAGGTCAATTTCGTATATACTTAATACGATCACTTGTTCTAAGCCTGAATTGTGGCTACTAGATGGCTACAGAAGAAGGATGTCATGTGGCTACGTAGAACAAATAAAAGGGGGGAGATCAGTGGCTTGTAGTAGGTGGCCGGCCCATTTCCTGAGTATAGCCCGGTAGTTCAAGGCCCAAGCAGATTATCTATATTCTTCTAAGGTACCACAAGTAGCAACAGGGGGACAAAATGCTGGAACCAGATAATCTGGTTAACTAATGAGAATGTGAGATAGTATTATGCAGAAAATGAAAACAAAAGAAAGCTTCAATGATGGCAAGCTTTCATGACAGCCTACCATTGTTAGAGGTGAGCTCCAGTTCCACTGTCGATTTTTGGAACTCGACCTGAATGCATGGTATAGACGGCCAAAGGATATTGCACCAAGAGTTTGTGCAATCTCTAGAAAAAAAATAGAACTTTAAAGTAAGACATTGAACATGAAAATGTGGATACAAGACCTCAACCTCTCACCTAACAAGGGTATAACTGTCTAGCTCCTAGATCAATTGGTTATCCTATGTAACAATACACAAGGCATGCACATATAGTACACGGTAGGATTCGCTTACAAATTGTAGTTTTTTTTTTGGCTCCGTTAACACGAACTATGAGATGATCATATGAAAGCCATGGACGTCGAAGAAATACAAGATCCTCTCTTGGCTAATTGTGTACAACAGAGTGTGGTTATTTGACAGACTAGCAATCGTGGTTGGCTAAACAATATTGTTGAGGAGTGGCTCCGGAATTACGGAGCTAGTCTCCGTCAGGCAGCCTCCGTCCCGGAGCTACCCGCCCTGGGAAAGCGACTAAGCGTTCAAGAGCCCCAAGTCAATCGAGCCTCGAGAGGCCGTTATAACTCTGGAGGGTATCAGGCCGTCGGAGGCCCGCGGAGCCTCCGGAGATCACCCGACTGCCGAAGCCCCGTGGAGCCCCCCTGGAGGCCACCTGATCGCCGGAGCCCCATGGAGTCTCTGGAGGCCACCGAATCGCCGGAACCCAACAAGCCTCCAATGACATCGGGCCTCTGGGGGCCAATCGACCTCCGGCTGCTAACGGATCTCCGGAGTTGGTTAGGATTACGAAGGACTGAGAAGGCCTTAAGCTAGAAGCCACGGTGGACCCCTAAAGGCGTGATGGGGGGCAATAAATACGCACTACGTATCCGCCAACCACCTCTGGCGTCTCGACAGGGACGGGCCTGCACAGGCCACTACCCGGGAAGCGCGGCTTTACCCAGGCAGTGGCTAGTATCCTCGGGGGCGCCGCCGATTCCCTAATAGGCGCAGCCGTCCTTGTCACGGGTGATTTTACTAGGAGCCCGAGGGCTGGCCCACCAGCCAGCCACTCTAGATTAGCCTATAGGATAGGGGCAAAAATGTAATTTCCTCTTGTATATCCCGGTATAAATATATAAACACTGCTCACGATTGAGGGCAGAATTCACATTGAATACACTAGTTGGATTTTGTCCCAACAAATATCTTTTGCTCACTATGCCAGCACACCCCAAAGACATCTTTCCACCTCCAAATGAAATGCGGATACACGAAGAGAATATGAGATATACTATCAACATGGACCTTATTCTAGGAGAACAAATCAACAATATGTAGCACAACTACGACAGTCCATGAGTGGTGACTGGTGAATGGTACTGGCCACTAGTAAGGAGCTACTGGAAAAAGGAGTCCGCACCCTATTAATCCTACTAAAGACAAGGGAAATTTGGTAGGAAAACAATCAGAGAGGCTAAACTTATTGGCAAAAATTAAAGAGGATGCCGAAACCTAAGCCTAGCAGGAGCAAAAACAACTCTCAGAGCTTATTCTTTAGCTTTACTGAACTTTATTTTTCTTTGTACTGTTCTTCACACTTATACAACTTCTTTTATTCCTGCTATATTCAAAATGAAACTAAAACTAGTAGTGTCAGTTCGTTAAAAGGAAAAGAGGTGAGCTCCAGTTGCCGTGAGTATCTCTCTAGACGGCAATGGTGGCGACCGTTGAGTAAAAATGGCTATTTCACATATGCACACGTTTTTGTGCATACTGCAATGGTTTCGGGTAATCAACTACAAGTCTGACCTGCGGTGGCGCTTACCCAGCCTGCATTTCTGGAATTTTATGGTCTACAGATACTGTAGTTGGTGAAATGTTGGTTGGTACCAGTTCGTTGAACACAAATACTATATGTATAGCTGGAAGCAATATATTGACTGTAGGTGGATTTTGGCCCATTTGATTCAAATCTGCCTGCGAAATTGACCAAGCTGGTGTGCTTTCCGTACTATTCCCTATATATGAAATCCATTTTCTCTGTTTTTTAAGCCCCAGATTTTCACATGTTATAAATTGCTGCCATGGGCTGATGGGATGATTACAGCTGCTTACCTTCTGTCAGGGTCGTCCTTTTCCTGTCAAATAGTCATATTTGTGTTTTTATCAGCAATTTTCAACCATACCATACTGCCATCGTTTTCAGTTATGCATTCCTTTGGGCTGAATCGGGTAGGAACTGGGCGTGTGTCAACCACAAGGAGAGCGGTTTTTTATCATCTTGGAGATATAATTGGAGTTGCTGATCTCTCTGGAGGCTTTGCTGTAATTTACTTACGTTGGTCTGAAAGGTGACACTTTCACAAGGAGGCAGAGATAGTATTGATTCTTTCCTTGCGTCTGATATCTTCCCTCCCTTTTGGCTCATGATGGTGTTGGCAATAGCTAATTATGAAAACACTGTTCTTTTTCTATGGGAGTCCGCCGTTCGTTTGACACAGTATTTTACTTCAAGGCCATCTTAACTTCTTAAGATTATAATAAGAAATAGTGTTTGTTTACTGAAAAAGAGCATATTTCTCGAAAGACATTTGTTGGAACTAGCATTTTAGTATGCCATGACAGCCTTATCGTCAAACGAAGTCAAAAGTCGCACAGAGTCCACAGAATTTGCAAATCAGACGGCCATCTAATACCCCTACTAAGTAATGATGAATATTGTACTTGTAGGGGTGCCTTTGCAAGTGGAGAGTTTCATGCAATCAGCGAGGACTGCTGGACGCGTGGCATTGTGGTTTGCTTACAAGGAAATCAAACGTAATTAGATTCTGAATGAATTTTGTAGTAGATGCTGATACAGGATGGTGGGAATATATGGGTGTTTAAGTAGTGTTTTTATTCGAGCTAAACTTTGCCTGTAGGAAAAAAATTTCTGAATTTTGCATTATCTACGAGAATAAATGTCAGAAAATGTGATGAAATTGTTATCAAGGGCGG